ATCACTTTTCACTCTGGAAGATATTTCCTGGGGGTTTTAACCTTATGAATTATTTTGGCGGTTTTGAACCGACAAGATAGTTTCCTCCTGGACCGACTATAGTCAGATAACCTCTTTGTATGGCGAGTCGCATAAATAGGGTGGTTTGCTTCTGAACAAAATGCTTTCTTTGAAGTGTAAAATCCTCTGAAAAAGTTTAGTTCGTACATAGTTATCAGTGTAAAGTCAAAGCGTTTCGGATTAAGTTGACACAGTTTTGAATTAGGACGGTTAGTGCGACGAAGTTAACATACAATTAACTAATTTCACAGGCATATGTAAGTTATGAGTTGGGTGAATACACATTAAAAACTATTCAGCTTTACTTTCCCCTCTTTCATAGAACAATATTCTTCTCTTGTATTTATTACATTTGCATGGCCTCCTTTTGCACTTGGTGATCCCAAATGGATTTGATAGTTTTAGTCAAACCATAGAACTATAAGATTTATATAGTTTATCGTTTTAAAGATAGGGCTTTTGGCATGTATTATAGAAGGTATGACGAGTGGTTTGAGCGCGATGATTGTGTCTGTGGTTTAAATATAGATTTTATTTTTAGACTTACGATGTATTTGAATTGATTTGCTATTTTCAAGGACATAGTACATCTGTCCTCCCAAAACTCGTTCGACAGACGTACAGTTATAACTGGCTATAGACGTGATAGAGTGGCAAGCAAACCGTTTAACCTAATTATTTCTTTTAAAATAGTCTATTTCTCCCAGACATGCTAATCTTTGATTTCCTATGTCTTGTCCGAAGAGCTGACAACGCAATAATAGCTAAATATATTGCTTCAATTTTCAAAATCTGTCTGACGTCCAATTTAGAGCTGTGGTCGATAAAGGGTGAAATACAGTCGAAGAATAAAGAATAAGTCTGAAATGAATTTGAAACACAATTTTTAATCTGTTATCCCAATGTGGTTATTCCACAATATTGCCTTGTGTTTGTGATCCCAATGGTTTTTCAGGGCTGTTCAATTCCAGCTGCAAAGATTGGATTGCAAAGGATGCCGTCATATAATAGATGTCCCCCTCCATAGTCTGATGCAATAAAGCGTAGTATTGCAACATATATTGCTTATCGAACCACTGTGGTTCGTCTTATTCAGTAGCATTCATAAAGGGTTTTCTTGTCGTAAGGTCGCTATCATGGATACCCATGCCTTTTGCCTTTATTTTGATGTCTGAAGTTTAGTAATTTGAGTTGATCCAATTACCAACGCTTTTGTATTTGCGATAATGACGTGATAATCAGGACATAAAGAAAAATAAAACAACGTTGAGCGGCAAATCATCATTCTGGAAATAGAATCTACAATATCAACCCCGGTACAAAGACATAGCTGGATACAAAGATATATATTTTTAACAAAGTGGTATATGATCATGTTTGGTAGTAGTAAATTATAACAACTGAAATGTATTACTGTCTCTTGAACTGTCACATTCTGACAAATTATAGCTCAAATTGTGTCTTCGGGGCTAACAAAATGAAGTTAAATGTCATTTGAGGTTATATACAGTGAATAATTAAAGTCCTATTTTAAATCTAAGGAAATTTAGTTAAAAGCTCCATTTACATCAACCTAAAGCCCTGAGCTAGGATTAAGCTTGTCAAGTAGTGTGCTGAAAGTATATTTCCTTATCGAGTGGGACCGTTGATTGCTACTAGAAATACACGTCGAGTTAAATTTGAATTTGTGCTGAGTCGACAAATTATATGAAATAAATTGACGTCAGAGGATGGATGTACTCGTGATAATGTGATGCCATGTTATTAACTCTTGTTTGTAATCTGTCTGGCACCGTACATTTACTTCACCCCACTTAACAGTTTACATCTTACAATATGTCGATGGATACATTCATTTTACATGTCATTTTGAATAGGAAACGAATGCATTTTTTTGTTGCTTTTATTTAGATTCATGAGATAAGATTTGTCTATATGGATTTTTGTGTTCGCAAGTACATAATGTAGGCTGTAGACCGTGCACTAATATTTCAATTCTAATTCTGTTCTCAGTTTTTCAAAAACAACCGTAGGTGTTCTCAGTTAAGGTGAAGGTCGGTTCGATCGATAAGAGGTTTTGAAGTATATAGCGGTTTCATACATTTAGCAAACGTCAATATCACGTAAACCCTCTTTATAAGCTGCTTTTTTAAAATCCTTCTTGTGATAAAATCTTTTTCTCCGCTTCCAAACTCTTTTCGAGAATCTCATAATGATTATTTTTACCCACCAGAATAATAATGATCAACTACAAGTATGACATATGCTGAATCACAAAGAATTATAGAATTTGGCAGGCAATCACAATTAATATGGTCGTGCTGCCATGAGAGCATTAATTGCATCAAGTTCTCTGATTAGAAATAGTAACAGTTAAACTTGAATATGGCACGTAGTCTGGGAAATGCATGAAATAGGTTGATTACTGAAGTTTGACTTGCTGTCAGTTATTTAGCAAGCAGACTATAATTGACAAATATGTCTTAGCACCTTGCTGTTACTTTACCTTATCTTAATTACGACTATTTCGAAACGGGAACCACCAGACGTTAAAGACGAGTTAATAAAGGCTGTTGATATATACTCCCTCGTTTGAATCCCGGCAACTCCCTTGTTCAGTTATTGTAAATTTAATATAAATTTGACGACAATCGATTTTTACTCGAGTTCTATAATAGATCAGTGACATAATTCGCGGACATTGATCGTTATTGTGAAGTGTACTGAAGGCTACAGTGCCCTACTGACATAGTACAAGAGCATTGATTTCTCTCTCAGATAACAATGTGTCTTATAGGTCGCCCACTTGTAGCAAGTTTTCTTTGTTTTCGTTTTCTATTAAATTCCTAGAGAAGATACAAAGGCTCTTATTGTGAGGACGAGAGTATTAATATAGAAGGGGTTTATTTTATTAAGAAGGTTTTTTACGAGTCAATCATAGTTTAAACCACGTCCCATTATGAATAAATAGATGGGGCCGTGCATGTGCTCATATTTACAAAACAAAACACACTGGCTACTGCGTCTTGACTGTCGATAGGTTGTTTTTCGAAATCATGTGACATCATGAATATTTTGTTACTTCGGCCCCATTGCACGTACGCAGTTTGTCTGCAAAGGGTAACCAGACGATGTTAATGGACCTGCACAATTTTAGCGATTTAGAGAAGGATTGTTGCACATTTAAACGACACTTACAGCCTCAGTTGTCACCATCCTGTAGAATGTCTATGAGATCTGTCAACTCTTTCTAGCCTAATAAGCTCAGGAAATGACGTCAGTAAATGGTTAGTCTTTTCGGATTAAAGTGTTTTGAGAATAATACATCATTTTAATTTAACTCAGGCGTCAGTTCCGGTTTATTTTGGTACCACACGCGAAAACAGAAGGTGCAATGATCAACGCTAACGAAAATCAAATGAAAAATTTCCACCATTTCACTTGTTTTCATAGAATTAATCCGGTAAATGTGAATCATTCGGTAGTGGTAATCCCTTTTGAAAGACACGTTCGATTCACGGTGCCGATTATCGCAGTTAAATTGTTCGATTGACGTCATCAGTATGGAAAGTGCGGTGACTGAAGACAATTATTATGATGATGATAAAATCAATAATGATTCTATTATGTCTATCAAATTTCATTACCGCTCAGTATGTATAGTGATACACTTTTCATGCCAAGGCGAACATTCTTCAATGTCTACCTTTTAGGTCCTAGAGAATTGTGAACGTGCCAAATTTTCTGTGCTTATGAAAACATGTACATTGAAAGCATAGGTGGGAATATAAGAAAACACCTACTCAAAAGTTGATATTTGCAAGTTTTGATATGTGTCTCAGTACATATTTTCTCTAAAATTCACTTTTGTTGTATTTTTCATGCAATTTTCCAGGTACACTGATTGACTTTTATTTGGTTAAATGTTAGGACTTGTCTGTTTTTTTTTATTTTACGATCAAGACTAGTACACTAATGAAAATGTAGCGTGCGACTGAACGAGTGGAGTGTTTTCAACCAAATCATGTCATCTCTTTACAAAGTTTGTTGACATCATACAACCTAGTTAAAGGTCATCACTCGATATTGGCCTGGTTTCAACTGTCATACATGGCCTCTTTTTAGGTGTCATCATTCATGTAACAAACATAAATAAACCTATTGGACCACATTATTTAAAAAATTGTTATTTTTTCTTTGCAAGCAGATCATGAAAGCATAACGTATGCTTTGAATTATAGTTGACTTGACATAAAATAATATGACATGTGCGCAGGGATTTTGAGATGGTATATAAATCGCATTCTAATAATCATTCTGAAAATCAATCCGGCTGAGCGATTCCACAAACATCGTTATTTATGGTTGTTCAAACTATATCATAGAAAGTCTCTGATTGGTCATTATTTATTGAGTCTCGTTTGAAACCAAGAGATAATATGGCACGGTTTAGAACATGTTCAGTTTACAATCTCAATATTTGAGTCTTCCTCCCCAATCTCTCTCTGAGGTCCAATGGTCAGGTATTGTTCACCTTTGAACTTTGAATATGCATTGATGGCCTTTAACCTTCGGAGATTCATTGTTAACCTTTGACGATTCATTGTTAGCCCTTGACCTTAGAAATTGCATTGGTGACCTTTGACCTTGGAAGATGTATTAATAATCTTGAAAGCTTCATGGGTAGCCTAAGGAGATAAATTGGCATCCTTTAACCTTGAAAGATGCAGTGGCAACTTTTGACCATTGAAGATGGACACATTGGTATTATTGGACCTTTGACAAAAAACTGAATGAGTTTTTAATTTTATCTTTTCAGGTGCAATTCACTGAAAACAAGACAAAGTATGGTAGAAGTTTAAATTGACAGGGTGTTTCTAAGGTTGAGAGGGAACAAACTTCAGCTGGTACTGTATTATATATAGAAGGGGAGGTGCAATATGGATCATTATTCGCCAGAATTCATCGAGGATGAGCCGCTCGATTTAAGCATAAAACCACGCGCTAACAAACCAGCCAATGAGAAGCAGGCTAGTGCGGTATGTCTGGCCAAAGCCTATGATTATGGCAGCCATTCTAAACATTTCCATGATCAGAGGGAAACTCAGAGTGCTCCAGTAATTCGCTATGAAACTGGCAATTCGGGAATAGAAACTAGACCTAGGACGTACGATAATCACAGATATTCAGCATTCTCAGTGAAAGCCCGTATTCTCAGGGACTGTGAAAGTTACAAAGAAAAATATAGTATACCGGATAATAATCAAATCAATACATCATACCACCGCCATAGCCCTCCCAAAACTTCATACAGTGCTTATCCTAATACTATTGGAAATATACATCATGCCACAGATCATTCACTGCACGCACCTCCGCCAAGGAACCAATCAACGACGGCATATTCGTATCCCAGTAACGAAAAGCCGGAAGGTAGATTTGACGTCGGATATCTCAGCCAATCAGATTGCCCAACTCGTACTAGTCTCATGGATTTCTTTAACGATTCTATAGAGGTTGGATTAAGAAAAGATAAACCTAGCGGAGATAACCCTGCTCGTTTAAAACGAGAATATGTTGAATCTATGGATGAATCTCGCTACAGCCCGTCTGATTCTAAACGGCATAAACCAGAGGGCAGACCTGTGATTCGCCAGTTCAATTCTCCATTGGTAGTCGACAAGAAAGATCAAATCACACAACAGGAAAAGATTGATGTAGTTGGCATGAATGAACCTGAATCTTCAAATTTGAGAAATAGTTCGCCCGTAGCTACTGAACCAAAAGAGAACTGTAACACGTCTAATGATAAAACTCAGGAACAATTCAAACAAAATATTTCTCTTCCACCGCGGAAAAAATCTGGATCGAAAGTTTTAGATTTGGATTATATGATCTCGAAGGTATTACTGGACCGTGGGGATATTCCTAATGCTCAAAGAGCGCAACCACACTCTATTAAAAGAATATATTGTGGGGAAGGGAAGGGACAGCTGAAACTAATAGATTTAATTGAGCTTCAAGTCGAAGAAAGTTTAAAAGCTTAAAGTCGCTTCACCACAGTTCTACGATGGTTTTAAATGGAAAAGTGCTTCAGTTTACCATGACGAATGGAAACGTTTCTTGTATGAAGACATGTAGTCTCGATGTCGTAAGAGGTTATTGTCCACGTTTGATGTAATTGCCATTTAAGTAAAACAGCCGAAAAGGTTGTAACAAGCACTTCTCATTATTGAGTGATATCGTGAAGTGAATAAGATAGAGCTAGTCTTTCTGTGAACTCAATTCCATAAAAGACGTCACGGTAACTTATTGCTCTATGCTTTCGACACGTGTTTCTGATATGAATTCACCATCAGGACAGCTGGTGAGACAATGCAATTTCCTTTATTAGGACTTTGAAGTATGGGCATCTTGAGCAAAATCACTGACAAGAGCGATTTGACTTATTTCCTTACTATAGGGCAGTTATCTGAAAATTTTTCGCTATGGCAGTATGGTAATGTGAATGTGACCGTAGAAGTAAAACTACCATGTCGTACACGCGTCCAGCGTTGTTACGGCCATTGTGTTAAGTCTAGATTCTGTAGGAGTGTTTAAACCTCGTTGTATAAGAAAGACTACAGTGTAGACGTTGGACACGTTAACAGATGCGTACACGTACACTGTAAAGTGTTATATGAGTAAAGATACAAAATTTGGGTGGCAACTGTGCTGCCGGATAACCGTTGTTTGAGGCAGTATAATTATCTGTAAACGTCCATTGATCTTATGATAAACACACTTGATGTTCTCTGCCAAGTGAACATAAGTATCTTGATTGTTTCTATCTAAAGAAAATGTTACAGATGGTTTTCTGGTGGTTGTTTCGACCAATATATTTTGTGTTTTGAAAGAAATGGCTGAAGGTTTCTTACTGTTTCGGGATGTGATGATCCGAGGCTAGGGAGTTCAAGGTCGTATCAGCAGTATTACTAAACTCAATCAATAAATTTACATTTTGCACATATGTTTGCAATTGATCATTTTTTGTGGGGTTCAAGGCCATTCAATGCATCAACTATTTTAATTGTATTTAGTCATTTGGAATACAAAATAGACCAAGTTTATGGTAAACGAACACTGTATTTACAGCCTATCGTCATGTATTCCCCCATCCCTTCGCCGCCATCCCGTCAATAGTAAGAAACCAGATTAACAGTGTAGACCTGCTTTAAGTTTGTGTAGTAGATAATTTATGTTATTGACTTATTTTCCACAATTGAAAATATTCTATATATGTTATAATTTAATATATTGAAATAAATGATAAAATATTGCCGTATTTTCTCTTATAAAATAAATACAATATATCTTCCCTGATCACATACTCCAACGTTTAGCCCACAAGAAAAATACGTACGCCATTGGAGGAATCTTGGATTACGTCATTAATCTAGTAGGTAGGAATTGAATAATGTCAAGAATCCACTAGTTCTATCAGGACATTATTAAGCTAGATGTCGTCTTTGGGCCTGAATCTCAACAAAAAATGGACCTTGGTAAGTCTAATATATCCTTAGCAAATTCAATGTTCTGCTCACATTATTGTGTCCTCATTCCTTAGATTCAATGGACTTGAGATCACTGACGATTGGAAACTCGCAGTTCAACAAGATACAACAAGTTGTTCATTTTCTAAAAACCCAAACCGTCGCTATTAATCATTTCGATGATAGATGAAAACAGACATTGGCTGTAAAACTGCTTCAAAAGCCACACCTTGTGTCTCAAAAAATCTCCAAAAATCGATAAAAAGCCTTTGACGAGTATTAATTTTATACAGATCAACATTCTTTCGACTGTCACTGCACACAACACGACTTCATATATTTTTAGATTGATCCTTCCGCATGGAAATCTCTCCTCATCTCACAAAATCTGAATGAAAATTTCAAATTCTAAATCTAGACCATAAATAGGCCTTCAAAACGACAAAAGGGAGGGAGAAAAAGGATTTCTAAAAATATCACGTACTACATTCATACAATCATTAGCATAAAATGTTTTACTGGGGTCGTCGATCCATATAGTCGTTTTGCGTGCAGTGACAGTCAAGAGGATGTTGAAAAATATAGTGGTCTAATTTCAGTTTGGCTTGATCGAGACTTTCTTAATATATTGAATTTTTATCAAGAAAATGAGCATTTGCCAAGCTTTTTCATGTGACATTTGCAAATTTTTAACGACATTTATGCAAAAAGTTATAAAAGGTTTAATTTCAGAATTAACATGGAAACAGATGGCAAACGGATTACCTGAGTCGGTTAATATGGTTTTAAATTTATTATTCTAAACCCTTTAGCAAACTATTATGTTTAGGCTGAACGCATTACATCGGGTTTATGATATTTAATACCCACATCTTGAGGGATTTTCCAAGGAAAAGGGTTTTACATATATAAACCCAAGAGGAGGTGTTTACCTGACAAATAATTCGACAAGGAAGATATAAGGGGGACAACTCCTGTTACTAGACTCATTCAGTTGGACCGGTATTTCATTTGCTATCTGTTTCTATGTTAAATCACGAAATTCTCTCATCATCTCACAATAAATGAAAAGAAATGCAATTTCAAATTCCAAATCTAGACCAAAAGCTTTTTATTTGATCCATTCCGAGATAAAAAGCTTAATCTTAGTGTTATCTCGGCGTGAGTTGGTACAATTATACAAGCCCATAAGATCCTAGGTATAGGTATAGAAGCACTGGCCTAGGTCACAAGTAGAGACTACGGATTTCAACACGAAAACTATTTCAATTCAAACAGAATATGTTTTACTGAAGATTATTCATAGATTATTACTTCTGAAGTGAAAAGTATAATATCCTTAACATAATTTTCATTTCAAGACAAAACGAACTACTCAAACTGCTCTCTCAGTTCTATTCAATTCCATTAAAGGGATTGTAAAGAGCTTTTCTAAACTTTTTATGTGTATCGGAAACACCCGGGGACGCGTTTAATACGTCACTGCATATATATTAGTAGTAACTTCCGGTAGGACCCCACTAGTGACGTCATGAAACGCTTTAGTTTTGGTGAAACCACAGATGTGGGTATGAAAATTGGAATGGTTCAAATGGATGCTATCAGTATCCCAGATACACATAAAAAGTTTTGAAACCCTCTTACCAATTCCTTCAATTCTATAGTAGAGGCTTTTCTGGTAAAGGGGTGTAATTCTTGTCTAAAAGCTTGATCTATTAAGAAGGCGATCAGTGAGCTAGACTTTCTCTTTGTATAGAAGTAGCCATTTATGATTTGGCGGAAATGTTCTCATGTTCCAGATCATTAAACATAAATCAGATAAATTAACCAATCAACTGCTCTTTTTTATAAAGTATTTCCTTTACAGTGATACTACAAGTTTAGTAGATTTATAAAGTACATTATATAGTGATGCTAAAAGTCTAATAGCTTTATAAAATACATTATACAGTGATGCTAAAAGTTTAGTAAATTTATAAAGTACATAATACAGTGATAATATAAGTCTAGTAGATTTGTAAAGTACATTATACAGTGATGTTAATTGTTTGGTAGATTCACAAAGTACATTGTACAGTGGTGATACAAGTTTAGTAAATTATAAAGTACATAATACAGTGATACTACAAGTCTAGTGGATTCATAAAGTACATAATACAGTGATGATACAAGTCTAGTAGATTTATAAAGTACATAATACAGTGATACTACAAGTCTAGTAGATTTATAAAGTACATAATACGGTGATACATGTCTAGTAGATTTATAAAGAACATAATACAGTGATACTACAAGTCTAGTAGTTTTATAAAGTACATTATACAGTGATTATTCAAGTCTAATAGATTTATAAACTACATTATACAGTGGTGATACATGTCTAGTAGTTTTATAAACTACATTATACAGTGGTGATACATGTCTAGTAGTTTTATAAAGTACATAATACAGTGATACATGTCTAGTAGATTTATAAAGTACATAATACAGTGATACATGTCTAGTAGTTTTATAAAGTACATTATACAGTGGTGATACAAGTCTAGTAGATTTATAAAGTACATAATACAGTGATACATGTCTAGTAGTTTTATAAAGTACATTATACAGTGGTGATACATGTCTAGTAGTTTTATAAAGTACATTATACAGTGATGATACAAGTCTAGTAGATTTATAAAGTACATAATACAATGGTATTACAAGTCTAGTAGATTTAAAAAATACATAATACAGTGGTGATACAAGTCTAGTAGATTTATAAAGTACATAATACAGTGGTACTACAAATCTTGTAGTTTTATAAAGTACATTACACAGTGATGATACAAGTCTAATATGTCATATGGTGTCTTACGCGGTGTTTAATACAATGAAGTGAATCATGTATCTGCTTCTGCAATTTTCTTTCGAATTGATAGTCCCGCATTTTCTCGTTCAGCAATTCCAGTATTTAGATTTCGGGGAAGGGAGGGTTTGATTCTCCCAAATGTACAGGCCTAGGGTGGAGCAGACACTTTATTTAGAAATTAGGATTAAGGGTCTTGATATTGGGTTTTCTTCTGTTCTTATTCTGATCTGAAATTAGAAAAAATAACTCGCCCGATGGGCGAGAAGTATAGTATCTGTTATGTACTGATTGTTTTTAGTTTGCTATGAACAATATTATCATTTAAGTTCTTATTTTTTGAATATGCAACTATCATTTTCTGCTTATAGACATGGGGGAATTTCTCTTGAAGGCTCTTATAGTGGGCATGAACTATCTTGCTTGCTCGATTGCTGGTTGTATTAAACGGGACAACAAAGGGTGCTATGCCTACATTATGATGAATATTTAGTCCTATAGGTCTTGCTGTATTCAATGTCTCAATCCAATGGGCCTCCCTAGATTGACGGAATTTGGTAGTTAGAGTTGAAAAGGACTAATTTGTTGGACACTATATATAAAATTATCTACATTTTGCATCTAAAATTCGTAGTATATCAAATTTTACAAGAAACTGGCCATCATTATCAATAAATCCTGCTGATGTATTTCATATTCATAAGGTACATTTGTTTTAGGTTCGTTACCCCAAAAAAGTTCATATTCATAAGGTACAGTTAATATAGGTCCGCTACCACAAAAAAATTGATGTAGTTTTGGTACAATTGTTATATGTCCACTACCTTCAATAAATTTATGTGGTTTAGGTATAGTTGTTATATGTCCACTACCTTCAATAAATTGATGTGGTTTAGGTATAGTTGTTATATGTCCACTACCTTCAATAAATTGATGTGGTTTAGGTATAGTTGTTATATGTCCACTGCCTTCAATAAATTGATGTGGAGGAGGTACAGTTGTTATAGGTTCACTACCCCCAATAAATTGATGTGGTGTAGGTACAGTTGTTTTAGGTCCACTACCTTCAATAAATTGATGTGGTTTAGGTATAATTGTTATATGTCCACTACCTTCAATAAATTGATGTGGTTTAGGTATAGTTGTTATATGTCCACTGCCTTCAATAAATTGATGTGGAGGAGGTACAGTTGTTATAGGTTCACTACCCCCAATAAATTGATGTAGTTTTGGTACAATTGTTATATGTCCACTACCTTCAATAAATTGATGTGGTGTAGGTACAGTTTTTATAGTTCCACTATCCCCAAAAATTGATGAGGTGTAGGTACAGTTGTTGTAGGTCCACTATCCCCAATAAATTAATGTGGTGTAGGTACAGTTGTTATATGTCCACTACCTTCAATAAATTGATGTGGTGTAGGTACAGTTGTTATAGGTCCACTATCCCCAATAAATTGATGTGGTGTAGGTTTAGTTGTTATAGGTCCACTATCCCCAATAAATTGATGTGGTGTAGGTTTAGTTGTTATAGGTCCACTATCCCCAATAAATTGATGTGGTGTAGGTTTAGTTGTTATAGGTCCACTATCCCCAATAAATTGATGTGGTGTAGGTTTAGTTGTTATAGGTCCACTACCCCCAATAAATTGATGTGGTGTAGGTTTAGTTGTTATAGGTCCACTATCCCCAATAAATTGATGTGGTGTAGGTTTAGTTGTTATAGGTCCACTATCCCCAATAAATTGATGTGGTGTAGGTTTAGTTGTTATAGGTCCACTATCCCCAATAAATTGATGTGGTGTAGGTTTAGTTGTTATAGGTCCACTATCCCCTAATAAATTGATGTGGTTTAGATACAGTTGTTTTAGCGTCACTACCCCCACTCGATTGATGTGGTGTAGGTACAGTTGTTGTAGGTTCTCTACTCCCAATAAATAGATGTGGTGTAGGTACAGTTGGTGTGGGTTCTCTACCCCCAATAAATAGAGGTGGTGTAGGTACAGTTGTTGTAGGTTCTCTACCCCCAATAAATAGATGTGGTGTAGGTACAGTTGTTGTGGGTTCTCTACCCCCAATAAATAGAGGTGGTGTAGGTAAGGTTGTTGTAGGTTCTATACTCCCAATAAATAGATGTGGTGTAGGTACAGTTGCTGTAGGTTCTCTACCCCCAATAAATAGAGGTGGTGTAGGTACAGTTGTTGTAGGTTCTCTACCTCCAATAAATTGATGTGGTGTAGGTACAGTTGTTGTAGGTTCAATACCCCCAATAAATTGATGTGGTGTACGTTTAAATCCAACACCCCCAATAAATTGATGTTGTTTAGGTACAGTTGTTTTAGGGCCACTATCTCCACTCGATTGATTTTGTGGTCTATTCACACGTGATATAGGGCCACTATCTCCACTCGATTGATTTTGTGGTTTAGGTACAATTGATATAGGGCCACTATCTCCACTCGATTGATTTTGTGGTTCAGTAACAGTTGTTGATCCTAAAATATCACCCCACTCTTTCCATTCTACATACGTCACTGGAGGAATTGCAGTCTTCATATTTTCACAGAGTTTTTGTAAATCTTGGATTGAGTTAATATCTGTTGCAGAAGTACATGATGTATTTAAATCTATCTTGAATTTTTTTATCTTGGTCATAATTTCTAATAATTTTGATTGAGTTTTTGCCAAGTTTTCAATTTTATTTTCAATGAATTGTTCAGATTTTGAAAGTTCTTCTAGAACCACCTCTCTTGTAGAATCACATTCTAAATCTAACGTTTTATGATCTCTGTGGTCTTTTAAAATACATTTAGAACACAACAATAAATCACATGTTTGACAATAATGATCTACCTCCTTCTTACTGTGATTTGGACAACCGTGTTTTGGCTTCAGACTAATTGACGGTTGGGTGGTTGCATTGTCGGTTGTTCTCGGAGAATCTGTCGATACTTGTAAAGAAAAATTTGTAATTAACTTGTCGACACCACCTTGTGGAATTTCAATATCCTGTTTACAAACTGGGCATGGAAATGTCTCCTTTTTGCCATTTATATATGTCACCAAGCATTCGAGACAAAACGAGTGTCCACATGATAAAATTTTGGGTGTACGGGTATTGAAATTTTCTAAACAAATCGAACATTCTAAAGGATGTTTTAGTAAAGCCGTCGCCATGACTAATTCTTCACAATTTCTCTTCGAAACACTGAGATATAAGATAATACCTTTCACAGACAAACAGAATGATTTCACTATGTTATGGTATATTATCCTTCGCTAGAAATATAGTTTTATATACTTTCCAAAGACAAACAGAATGATTTCACTATGTTATGGTATATTATCCTTTACTAGAAATATTGAAATATAGTTTTATATACTTTCCACAGACAAACAGAATGATTTCACTATGTTATGGTATATTATCCTTTACTAAAAATATTGAAAAATAGTTTTATATACTTTCCACAGACAAACAGAATGATTTCACTATGTTATGGTATATTATCCTTTACTAGAAATATTGAAATATAGTTTTATGTATTTTCCACAGACAAACAGAATGATTTCTCTATGTTATGGTATATTATCCTTCGCTAGAAATATTGAAATATAGTTTTATATACTTTCCACAGACAAACAGAATGATTTCACTATGTTATGGTATATTATCCTTCGTTAGAAATATTGAAAATTGTTAATATAGTTTTATATACTTTCCACAGACAAACAGAATGATTTCACTATGTTATGGTATATTATCCTTTACTAGAAATATTGAAATATAGTTTTATATACTTTCCACAGACAAACGGAATGATTTCACTATGTTATGGTATATTATCCTTCGCTAGAAATATTGAAATATAGTTTTATATACTTTCCACAGACAAACAGAATGATTTCACTATGTTATGGTATATTATCCTTCGCTAGAAATATTGAAAATTGTTAATATAGTTTTATATACTTTCCACAGACAAACAGAATGATTTTACTATGTTATGGTATATTATCCTTCGCTAGAAATATTGAAATGTAGTTTTATATACTTTCCACAGACAAACAGAATGATTTCACTATGTTATGGTATACTATCCTTTACTAAAAATATTGAAAAATAGTTTTATATACTTTCCACAGACAAACAGAATGATTTCACTATGTTATGGTATATTATACTTCTCTAGAAATATTGAAATATAGTTTTATATACTTTCCACAGACAAACAGAATGATTTCACTATATTATGGTATATTATCCTTTACTAGAAATATTGAAATATAGTTTTATATACTTTCCACGGACAAACAGAATGATTTCACTATGTTATGGTATACTATCCTTCGCTAGAAATATTGAAATATAGTTTTATATACTTTCCTCAGACAAACAGAATGATTTTACTATGTTATGGTATATTATCCTTCGCTAGAAATATTGAAATATAGTTTTATATACTTTCCACAGACAAACAGAATGATTTCACTATGTTATGGTATATTATCCTTTACTAGAAATATTGAAATATAGTTTTATATACTTTCCACAGGCAAACAGAATGATTTCACTATGTTATGGTATACTATCTTTTACTAGAAATATTGAAATATAGTTTTATATACTTTCCACAGACAAACAGAATGACTTCACTATGTTATGGTATACTATCCTTCGCTAGAAATATTGAAAATGATTTTCTTATACCTTCTACAGAAAGACATTCAAAAGCAGCCTCTAGTATGTTAAACATATTTCCAGGTAAAGAAGAGATCTATTTGAATTTATTTCTAGGTATTTCAAAATTTCGTAGAAATTCATTGACGCAGTAAATTGTAAACAAGACGTTATCTAACAAGATACGCTAAAGATCATAGATCTTATGAAAACTGTAGTGTCTCCATTGTATTCACATATACATATTGGTGCATTTTTACTAAGTCAAGGTAATAACTTAATAACTTATCATTATAAATAATAACACTGAATTTTATTTAAATCAGATGAAAACTGTAGCAGTAATTATAATCCTTTAGCGACATTTAGAGGTAGAGATCACATTGAATAATAGAACACAATTTTATGGTATACTACTCCTTAGTTTTATTGCACACAACGTTTCAACAATCTACAATGTCATCATCAGGTGAAATTGGGAAGTGTAATACAAGAAGGTATATATGAACATAATAATACTCAATAGCAACAATTAATTTGGGATTAATGGTTTTCTGGTGGTTGTTTCGCTTAATATATTTTGTGTTTTGAAAGAAATGGCTGAAGGTTTCTTACTGTTTCGGGATGTGATGATCCGAGGCTAGGGAGTTCAAGGTAAGTCTAATATATCCTTAGCAAATTCAATGTTCTGCTTACATTATTGTGTCCTCATTCCTTAGATTCAATGGACTTGAGATCACTGACGATTGGAAACTCGCAGTTCAACAAGATACAAGTTGTTCATTTTCTAAAAACCCAAACCGTCGCTATTAATCATTTCGATGATAGATGAAAACAGACATTGGCTGTAAAATTGCTTCAAAGGCCACACCTTGTGTCTCACAAAATCTCAAAAAATCGATAAAAAGCCTTTGACGAGTATTAATTTTATACAGATATTTGATTAATATGTTTCGAGTATTGCTGCTGATGGTCAAGGGGGACAATGTATGATTTTGAGTAGTCTTTTACTATATGCTAATTCATTTGCCATCTATTTCAAGGCAAATCATGTTAAATCTCGAAATTCAACTTTCAATAACTTTTTCCAGAAATCTCCTTGAAAACTCTTCAATATGTCAAATGAAAGTCTGGCCAACTTAGTTTCTGGAAAAAAATTCGACATATGATGACCATGAAAATTTTGAGCAAGCCAAACTGAAAGTAGACCACTACATTTTATCAACATTCTCTTGACTGTCACTGCACACAACACAACACAACTTCATATATTTTCAGAATGATCCTTCTGCATGAAAATCTCTCTTCATCTCACAAAATCTGAAAGAAAATTTCAAATTCTAAATCTAGACCATAAATAGGCCTTCAAAACGACAAAAGGGAGGGAGAAAAAGGATTTCTAAAAATATCACGTACTACATTCATACAATCATTAGCATAAAATGTTTTACTGGGGTCGTCGGTCCATATGGGCAGTCGTTTTGCGTGCAGTGACAGTCAAACGGATATAGAAAAATATAGTGGTCTAATTTCAGTTTGGCTTGATCGAGACTTTCTTAATATATTGAATTTTTATCAAGAAAATAAGCATTTGCCAAGCTTTTTCATCTGACATTTGCAAATTTTTAACGACATTTATGCAAAAAGTTATAAAAGGTTTAATTTCAGAATTAACATGGAAACAGATGGCAAATGGATTACCGAAGTCGGTTAATATGGTTTTAAATTTGTTATTCTAAACATTTAAGCAAACTATTATGTCTAGGCTGAACGCATCGCATCGGATTTATGATATTTAATACCCACATCTTGAGGACAAGGGAGATGTTATACCCGACTAATAATTCGACAATGAAGATATAAGGGGGACAACTCCTGTTACTAGACTCGTTCAGTTGGACTCAGGCCGGTATTTCATTTGCTATCTGTTTCTATGTTAAATCACGAAATTCTCTCATCATCTCACAATAAATGAAAAGAACTGCAATTTCAAATTCCAAATCTAGACCAAAGGTTTTTATTTGATCCATTCCGAGATAAAAAGCTTAAACTTAGTGTTATCTCGGCGTGAGTTGGTACAATTATACAAGCCCATAAGATCCTAGGTATAGGTATAGAAGCACTGGCCTAGGTCACAAGTAGAGACTACGGATTTCAACACGAAAACTATTTCAATCCAAACAGAATATGTTTTACTGAAGATTATTCATAGATTATTACTTCTGAAGTGAAAAGTATAATATCCTTAACATAATTTTCATTTCAAGACAAAACGAACTACTCAAACACAACACGTGCGAGTGACCGGAGTCGACAAACGTGCTCTCTCAGTTCCATTCAATTCCATTAAAGGGATTGTAAAGAGCTTTTTTAAACTTTTTATGTGTATCGGAAACACCCGGGGACGCGTTTAATACGTCACTGCATATATATTAGTAGTAACTTCCGGTAGGACCCCACTAGTGACGTCATGAAACGCTTTAGTTTTGGTGAAACCACAGATGTGGGTATGAAAATTGGAATGGTGCAAATGGATGCTATCAGTATCCCAGATACACATAAAAAGTTTTGAAACCCTCTTAACAATTCCTTCAATTCTATAGTAGAGGCTTTTCTGGTAAAGGGGTGTAACTCTTGTCTAAAAGCTTGATCTATTCAGAAGGCGATCAGTGAGCTAGACTTTCTCTTTGTATAGATTTCGAAACTTAGGCCTTTTAATAACCCAATGTGAATCTTGTAGATGTAGCCATTTATGATTTGGCGGAAATGTTCTCATGTTTCAGATCATTAAACATAAATCAGATAAATCAACCAATCAACTACTCTTTTTTATAAAGTATTTCTTTACAGTGATACTACAAGTTTAGTAGATTTATAAAGTACATATAGTGATGATTCAAGTCTAATAGAATTATCAAGTACATTATACAGGGTTGCTACAAGTCTAGTAGTTTTGTAAAGTACATAATACAGTGATACTACAAGTCTAGTAGATTTATAAAGTACATAATATAGTGATACTACAAGTCTAATAGAATTATCAAGTACATTATACAGGGATGATACAAGTCTAGTAGATTGTTAAAGTACATAATACAGCGATGATATAAGTCTAGTAGATTTATAAAGTACATAATACAGCGATGATACAAGTCTAGTAGATTTATAAAGTACATAATACAGCGATGATACAAGTCTAGTAGATTTATAAAGTACATAATACAGCGATGATACAAGTCTAGTGGATTCATCAAGTACTAGATACTGTGATACTACAAGTCAAGGAGATTCAAAAAGTACATAATACAGTGATACTACAAGTCTAGTAGATGTATAAAGTACATAGTACAGTGATGATACAAGTCTAATAGATTTATAAAGTACATAATACAGTGAAACTACAAGTCTAGCAGATTTATAAAGTACATAATACAGTGGTGATACAAGTCTAGTAGATTTATAAAGTACTAATACAGTGGTGATACAAGTCTAATAGATTTATAAAGTATATAACACAGTGATGATACAAGTCTAATAGACTTATATAGTATATAACACAGTGATGATACAAGTCTAATAGACTTATAAAGTATATAACACAGTGATGATACAAGTCTAATAGACTTATTAAGTATATAACACAGTGATAATACAAGTCTAATAGACTTATTAAGTATATAACACAGTGATGATACAAGTCTAATAGACTTATTAAGTATATAACACAGTGATAATACAAGTCTAATAGAATTATATAGTACATAACACAGTGATGATACAAGTCTAATAGAATTATATAGTACATAATACAGTGATGAGACATGCCTAGTAAATTTTTGATATATATTATACAGTGCTGCTACATGTCTAGCAGATTTATAAAGTACACATATGGTGTCTTACGCGGTGTTTTCTACAATGAAGTGAATCACGTATCTGCTTCTGCAATTTTCTTTCGAATTGATAGTCCCGCATTTTCTCGTTCAGCAATTCCAGTATTTAGAGTTGAAAAGGACTAATTTATTGGACACTATATATAAATTTATCTACATTTTGCATCTAAAATTCGTAGTATATCAAATTTTACAAGAAACTTGCCATTATTGTCAATAAACCCTGCTGATGGATTAGTGAGTCTATTCCATGGAATGTGTAGACCACTTCCAGTATAATCTGGGCCAAATCTCTCAGTCCTAATTTCATTGGTCACACTATCACCTTTTACTATATTAAGAAGAGTTACAGTATATTTTATTTTACAAAATTTTAAATGTGGATTATCTTTTTCTAGTAATGTGAAATCAATATCTACATATCTTAAACATCTTTCATAACTACATCTCCATACGCTATTACAACATATAAATTTATCATCAGTGTAATACTCAACCAAATCATTCTTAATATCTTCATAGTTAAAACTAAATATTTTACTCTCTTTAAATTGTAGAGACAGTTGTTACAGTTCCACAACCCCAAATAAATTCAAATTCATAATGTACATTTGTTTTAGGTCCGCTACCCCAAATAAGTTCATATTCATAAGGTACAGTTGTTTTAGGTCCGCTACCCCAAAAAAGTTCATATTCATAAGGTACAGTTATTAAAGGTCTGCTACCACCAAAAAATTGATGTAGTTTTGGTACAATTGTTATATGTCCACTACCTTCAATAAATTGATGTGGTTTAGGTATAATTGTTATATGACCACTACCTTCAATAAATTGATGTGGTTTAGGTATAATTGTTATATGTCCACTACCTTCAATAAATTGATGTGGTTTTGGTATAATTGTTATATGTCCACTACCTTCAATACATTGATGTAGTTTTGGTACAATTGTTATATGTCCACTACCTTCAATACATTGATGTGGTTTAGGTATAGTTGTTATATGTCCACTACCTTCAATAAATTGATGTGGTTTAGGTATAATTGTTATATGACCACTACCTTCAATAAATTGATGTGGTGTAGGTACAGTTGTTTTAGGTCCACTACCTTCAATAAATTGATGTGGTTTAGGTATAATTGTTATATGTCCACTACCTTCAATAAATTGATGTGGTTTAGGTATAGTTGTTATATGTCCACTACCTTCAATAAATTGATGTGGTTTAGGTATAATTGTTATATGTCCACTACCTTCAATAAATTGATGTGGTTTAGGTATAGTTGTTATATGTCCACTACCTTCAATAAATTGATGTGGTTTAGGTACAGTTTTTATATGTCCACTACCCCCAATAAATTGATGTGGTTTAGGTACAGTTGTTATAGGTCCACTGCCCCCAATAGATTGATGTGGTTTAGGTACGGTTGTTTTAGGTCCACTACCCCCAATAAATTGATGTGGTGTAGGTCCACTACCCCCAATAAATTGATGAGGGTTTGGTACAGTTGTTGTAGGTCCAATATCCCCAATAAATTGATGTGGTGTAGGTACAGTTGTTTTAGGTCCACTACCCCCAATAAATTGATGTGGTTTAGGTACAGTTGTTTTAGGTCCACTTCCCCCAATAAATTGATGTGGTTTAGGTACAGTTATTTTAGGTCCAGTACCCCCAATAAATTGATGTGGTTTGGGTACAGTTGTTTTAGGTTCACTACCCCCAATAAATTGATGTGGTGTAGGTACAGTTGTTTTAGGTCCACTACCCCCAATAAATTGATGTGGTTTAGGTACAGTTGTTTTAGGTCCACTACCCTCAATAAATTGATGTGGTGTAGGTACAGTTGTTTTAGGTCCAGTACCCCCAATAAATTGATGTGGTTTGGGTACAGTTGTTTTAGGTTCACTACCCCCAATAAATTGATGTGGTGAAGGTACAGTTGTTTTAGGTCCAGTACCCCCAATAAATTGATGTGGTGTAGGTACAGTTGTTTTAGGTCCACTACCCCCAATAAATTGATGTGGTTTAGGTATAGTTGTTGTAGGTTCACTACCCCCAATAAATTGATGTGGTGTAGGTACAGTTGTTATAGGTCCACTGCCCCCAATAAATTGACGTGGTTTAGGTACAGTTGTTTTAGGTCCACTACCCCCAATAAATTGATGTGGTTTAGGTACAGTTGTTATAGGTCCACTACTCCCAATAAATTGATGTGGTGTAGGTACAGTTGTTGTAGGTTCACTACCCCCAATAAATTGATGTGGTTTATGTACAGTTGTTGAAGGTTCAATACCCCCAATAAATTGATGTGGTGTAGGTTTAAATCTAACACCCCCATTAAGTTGATGTGGTTTAGGTATAGTTATAACAGATTCATTATACTCACTCGACTGATTTTTTGTTTTAGTTACAGTTATAGGTCCACTACTCCCAACATATATATTTGGATTAGTTAATTGTTTTATATCCACATCCCTATAAACCTTCTGTGGTTCGGGAGGATATTTTAGTACAGCCGTCGCCATGACTAATTCTTCACAATTTCTCACAACACTGAGATATAAGATAAAACCGACAAACAGAATGACTTCACTATGTTATGGTATATTATACTTCTCTAGAAATATTGAAATATAGTTTTATATACTTTCCACAGACAAACAGAATGATTTCACTATGTTATGGTATATTATACTTCTCTAGAAATATTGAAATATAGTTTTATATACTTTCCACAGACAAACAGAATGATTTCACTATGTTATGGTATATTATCCTTCGCTAGAAATATAGTTTTGTATACTTTCCAAAGACAAACAGAATGATTTCACTATGTTATGGTATATTATCCTTCGCTAGAAATATAGTTCTGTATACTTTCCACAGACAAACAGAATGATTTCACTATGTTATGGTATATTATACTTCTCTAGAAATATTGAAATATAGTTTTATATACTTTCCAAAGACAAACAGAATGATTTCACTATGTTATGGTATATTATACTTCTCTAGAAATATTGAAATATAGTTTTATATACTTTCCAAAGACAAACAGAATGATTTCACTATGTTATGGTATATTATACTTCTCTAGAAATATTGAAAATGATTTTCTTATATCTTCTTTAGAAAGACATTCAAAAGCATAGTTCTAGGTAAAGTAGAGACCTATTGGAATACATTTCTTGGTAGGCCTATATCAAAATTTCGTAGAAATTCATTGACACAGTAAGTTGTAAACAAGTGGTTACCTGGTAAGATACGCCCACATCCCTTACAAAATTTCGGTTTATCATGGGTAGTCACCAATCTGTGTCAAATCGTACCAAAAATCTAACTTTTCAAAGCTATTGTTGATTTAAACCAACACAAAATTCTGACATAAAATCAGATGACATCTTTATAGTCCATTATATTCATGAACACATTTTGGCGCTTTTTTACTAAGTCAAAGGTCATAACACAAATTTTGTACGACGAAAAATCATTAAATTCGACTGAACCTAGATCTTAAGATAATACCTTTCACAGACAAACAGGATGATTTCACTATGTTATGGTTTATTATCCTTTACTAGAAATATTGAAATATAGTTTTATATACTTTCCAAAGACAAACAGAATGATTTCACTATGTTATGGTATATTATCCTTTACTAGAAATATTGAAATATAGTTTTATATACTTTCCAAAGACAAACAGAATGATTTCACTATGTTATGGTATATTATACTTCTCTAGAAATATTGAAAATGATTTTCTTATACCTTCTTTAGAAAGACATTCAAAAGCATAGTTCTAGGTAAAGGAGAGACCTATTTGAATACATTTGTTGGTAGGCCTATATCAAAATTTCCTAGAAATTTATTGACACAGTAAGTTGTAAACAAGTGGTTACCTTGCAAGATACGCCCACATCCCTTAGAAAATTTCGGTTTATCATGGGTAGTCACCAATCTGTGTCAAATCGTACCAAAAGTCTAACTTTTCAAAGCTATTGTTGATTTAAACCAACACAAAATTCTGACATAAAATCAGATGACATCTTTATAGTCCATTGTATTCATCAACACATTTTGGCGCTTTTTTTATAAAAAGAGGCATGGTGTAATGTTATATTGGATCATTATTTTCTTGCACATTTTACATCTTAGTATGTAGATAATAAATTGCACTCCCAAATGACGACAAAACACCTGTTTGTTATGAATCTTCAAGGAGGATTTTAAAAGGCCGAGACAGGCGAGCCTACACTTCCTATGTTCTCTGCTATAAGCCTTCCACGGGTTGGGAGAGTCAGGGCTACCTCATACGTCAGTATGTTGAAAGTGAGTTCATCACTCCGTCAATGAGTTCGCCACTACGTCAGTGAGTTCGCCACTCCGTCACTGGAATGATTGACGGACTGACGCCAATGACGGCGTGACAGAATCATTGACGGATGAATAAGGTTTGTAAAAGCCCTGGATTATGTTATACGTAACTACGTCAATCTGTCACTGGGATGATTGGCGAACTGACATCAATGACAGATTGAGTCAATAACGCAGTGACGGATAAATTAGCTGTGTATCAGCCCTGGACTACTTCATTCGTCATTACGTCAATGAGTTCGCACTGACGGACTGGCATATTCTTTCGTTTTATTTTAAGATACGCTGGTATTCATCATTTTGTAAGATAGCATCGACATACGTCTTTCTAAGAATTTCGTTTTGATTTCGTTTTGTGATTGTAATTCAGTAATATTACTTTTTTTGTTCGGTAGCATTGACGATTGACGGAGTGAGGAACTCACTGACGGAGTGACGGGTGAGGTAGAATTGATTGGAGTCGGGAATCGCGGTCTTGAAAATTGAAATGAATTTTGTCATCTATATACTTAACTACCAACCAAAGAAATCGCCTGAATAAAGATGCACGAATGAAAAAATGAAAAAAATGAAAAAGACAGTTTTTAGCAGACATTGAATTTTGCGATTTCAGTGGATTTTGTTTGAACTAATTCGCTTCCCCCACCCAATTCTCTAAAGGGAAAACCACAGTTATTCGTAAAATTATAGCGACCACTGATCTAATTAAATAACTGAATAGACTTGGCTTGATTCGAACATCCTGGAGCACTGACTGGCGCCATCTTTGATGCGACTCTCATTCTCCCTAAAGTTTATGCAGAAGTCAAACTAATTTTGAAATTAAATCCGTAGTAGTTTTTAAACACCTAACAAAAGAAGCTTAACGGAAAAAGTCCGGCGCACACACGAGCCATCAGCTCAGGCAGACTTCGTGCACTTCTCCTTAAGGCGGTAGCTTAACCGCATGCGGGTAAATGTATGTTTGATAATTTTTTCAATGACTTTATAACTAGAGGCTGGCGCACACTAAAGGTGCATATACACGAGTGAGCTTGGTCGTGTGCCTGTGCCAGTCGACGAAACTTCCGACAAGACTCTAGTCGGCAACAAAATCTTCAGTAGTTCTTTTTCCACGTTTTCGGGCTGAACATGCACTTGAAGGGAAAATGAATCTGATTGGGTGATGACGGTCTGTCTTGCAGACGATAAAAGTGTTGGAGACAATTATCAAACTTGTTTGATGATATAAATCCTGTCGGGGAAGCGATAATCTTGTCGTGGAAGCATGGGCACATGTGAGATTTTACTCAAGACTCTACTAATCGTCGACAAAAATCTCCGACCAAGACCGCTCGTACGTGTGCCCGCATCATTACGGATTTTTTTTTCGAAAAATCGCTAGCGTGTGTAACACGACAGGCTTACGACAAAATCGAGTGTTCGGGAGATATCTGACATGTTTGATCGAATTTCCTCCTGTCCTGACGTGCCTTGTCGGGAAATTCACAACATTGACTCTGTAAAAACGATATCCAGGAGAGGTATTGAACGAGTATAAGTTACCGGAAGTTGATTTGGTGCTATAAATAGATAATCTGTACTATGTTCACCTCTACTGTGTGGTAGATAAACTTTCGATTTGTTTGATTTACAATATTGGTTTAAAAACTTTAGATATTGTACTGCATCCAAGAACATTGTAAGCATGTTGCCAATTTGTACATTATCTTGGTGGATGAAAGACGCATAGCCCCATAGCCATCATATAACCTAGACCCAGTTTTTTCCGTCCACAGTAAAAAAAAATTGTATAGTGAATGTAATGAATTGTTGAGATTAGAAATAGCGACCTTTGTTTGCATTCTTTCTTTGATTGGTGTCTTATAATGCTGGAAAACGTGTTGCTTCAATTGCTGTTATTACTCTCAACATAGAAGATTCGTATTCCTGTATTCCACTGTAAAGATAAGTGAAATGCAACAGCAAATTTCAGGTTCTAAAAGGAGATATGAACAGACAGAGGAACCTCATCAAAGCAAACATTTGAAATTAGAACATGATGCTGAGAAAGCTTCAGAAGATCTTTGGGGGCCTTATTTATCAGAAAGACAATGGGGAACTGTCAGAGAAGATTATAGTTCTGGAAAACAATGGTAAGAAATAGGCCCTATAGCTCAAAAGATTCATATATAAGAGTTTTTGCCTCTCAAACATCAGTGCTTCAGGTCAGGGGGTAATATCAGATTCATTGCTGATCCAATGGGTAGGGCCTAAGAGCTGCACTTGTCAATATCAGCTAGTAGTTGGCCCAGGGTCTCAGGTTGGGCCAAACTATAGGGATTCAACAAACCTCACTCCAGCTACGGGCCTGTGTTTGTGTATATTACTTGTAATGTAATGTTAAAGTAAAAAAGCACAGTATAGTATATAGATAATATGTAATATGTATAGTATATAGATAATATGTAATATGTATAGTATATAGATAATATGTAATATGTATAGTATATAGATAATATGTAATATGTATAGTATATAGATAATATGTAATACGTATAGTATATAGATAATATGTATAGTATATAGATAATATGTATTATGTATAGTATATAGATAATATGTATAGTATATAGATAATATGTAATATGTATAGTATATAGATAATATGTATTATGTATAGTATATAGATAATATGTAATATGTATAGTATATAGATAATATGTAATATGTATAGTATATAGATAATATGTAATATGTATAGTATATAGATAATATGTAATATGTATAGTATATAGATAATATGTAATATGTATAGTATATAGATAATATGTAATATGTATAGTATATAGATAATATGTAATATGTATAGTATATAGATAATATGTATTATGTATAGTATATAGACAATATGTAATATGTATAGTATATAGATAATATGTAATATGTATAGTATATAGATAATATGTATAGTATATAGATAATATGTATTATGTATAGTATATAGATAATATGTATAGTATATAGATAATATGTAATATGTATAGTATATAGATAATATGTAATATGTATAGTATATAGATAATATGTATTATGTATAGTATATAGATAATATGTATTATGTATAGTATATAGATAATATGTAATATGTATAGTATATAGATAATATGTAATATGTATAGTATATAGATAATATGTAATATGTATAGTATATAGATAATATGTAATATGTATAGTATATAGATAATATGTAATATGTATAGTGTATAGATAATATCTATTATGTATAGTATATAGATCTGTGGAATGGCAAAGATGAAATTTTAAAAGAGAGACTGTTTGGACTCACAGGACTACAGGTTTGATTGATTTTTATTTAGTTATAACATGAACATGTTTCTTTAGCAATGGTACAATGATTACTGGTATCCATTATGACTATCAATTTTTAGATGCTGATAATAATACCTTGAAGCACTTGTTTTATAGTTGATGTATTTTAAGAATAAAATGAATTATGTGTGGTCAATTCAAAATAACAAATTAATTATTGAAATTGTATTGACCCTTTTCGCTGCTTTACCCTAATGCTTGAAAACAATATAAACTTTGTAAATGACTTCAAACATATACGCATATGCCTGTGCAGCAAGGTGTTTAATGAAAGTTTTCTGTCAATGTATTGTAGGGCCCACTACTTAAGTAATTTTTTTGCAAAACTTCAGTTCAGACTTCAATAGGGCAAAGCCAGTTCTGGACTGTGAATTATTTTTAATAAAATTCCTAGTACTGCTCTACAAATTAATAGACAATACTGTTTGTTTTAGGGAAATCATGGTGAAGATGTCAAGGAGTTATATTATTATTTAGATGCTCTACCAAATCATAACTATAATAAAGCTTTATATAAATACCCACTATCACAGTTCCCTTATAAACAATTGATAGAGAAGAATACAACTAGAGATCAACAGGAGGCGGAGTTTGAATTGATCGACACAGGTCAGTTTCTGTGAGGTGTAATATTTTTTATCTTGAAAAATAGGACTTTATGTTAAACATTGCATTATTTTATTTAATTTAAAGAAATATGTACCTTGATGAGATTTAGTCATTTAGATTCATCCCATTGAATCCATTTGAGATAGTCAATATATAATGCTTTCAGGAATATTTGACAGTGGATATTGGGATATAACAATAGAATATATAAAAGATAAACCTAACATTACTTATTGTTGTTGTACTGTTAAAAATAATGGAGACCAAATTCATACATTACACATTTTACCTCAAGTTTGGTTCAGGTACTTTTGTACACAATTTTATGTTCAGTTCATAAGAATCAACTTCAATATATCACCTCTGACACAGAATCATCAACTTTTGTAAGCACTTTGAGGTTTATAGGAGTAATCCTTGTTTTATAAAATTAATTTGCTTCTGACGTTTTTTTTTAGAAAAAGTCTGAATTTCAAAAATAAGATATAATTATTTCTAATATGCAATGTATGCCGCTGCCACCGCCAAATATCACCCCAAATATTTGTTTACAGAAATACCTGGAGTTCTGCTAGAGGTGAAGAAGAAAAACCACATCTAAAGAAATTAAATAGTAATACAGTGCAAGCTAGATATAAATATGGTAACATCCTTTATATTTTCATTTTTATTAAATGATTGCACTTTTAACAGTGTTTTTATCTTTGAAGATTTTTTGTTCACTACTGATTTGTCGCTTTCATTATCAAATATGTCAGTTGACATTTGCTGGGTTGAAAATGGCAGTCACCTGATGAATAAACCTACGTTGGTGCACTGGTATTTTGATTTAGATCAGTAGCAGCCTCCCAAGATGGGGGGTACACACAGTGGGGAAGACTGACTGAATGGGGGACAACTGTTGAGGCTGAATTCAAAATGCACTAACTCTGTGGAGGTGTCATATTTGGAAGCTTCTCTTGGAGAACATACCCTCTGTACCAGCACACTGACACTGATTTATATTTAACAAGTAAAATTTCATTAAGTTATATTTGAAATTCCAGGGCAGTATATAATAGAGTATCTATCTAGTAATGAAATACCTGTAGATCTGATATTCACTGAGAATGAAACATCACCTGAATTCTATCAATCTGATGAGAAAAGAAAACAACATCACTCACCATCAGATAGTCAATATTATAAAGATGCTTTTCAGCATTATATTGTTAAAGGTATGTATCATAAGAAAGATAGACCAAAAACGGATCATTTTGGATATTAGAGTTCTCTTTAGCTGATCTTAAAGTGTGTGTTAGTTTTTAGTGGTTGCTATCCATAGGGAAAATAGCATTTACTTTTATAGACCTATCTTTCCTTATCTATATGAAATGATCTACTACAGCTATTGGATTCATTTCCTGTCTACATCATTGAATTTATCAGCATGTGGAATTTGACAAATGGGTTGGAAATTGGATAGGAATTTGCTCCTTATGATAGTTATTCATTTTTATACGCCCACATGGAAATGTGGACGTATGTTGCCGTCGCTCCTGTCCGTCCGTCCGTTCACATTTCTTGTAGGCGCGATAGAGGCTACAGTTTTTATCTGATCTTGATGAAACTTGGTATGCATGTATATATTGATGAGATCTCGGACAATTTGAAATTGGTTATAATCGGAAGAACGGTTTCAGAGTTATTGCCCTTGACTTAGTAAAAACACGTCAAATTGGACTTGTAGGCACAATAGAGACTACAGTTTTTATCCGATCTTCTTTGGTTTGCATGTATGGATTGATGAGATCTCGGACAAGTTCTAAATGGGTAATAATTGGAAGAACGGTTTCAGAGTTATTGCCCTTGACTTAGTACAAACGTGTCAAATTTGGCTTGTAAGCACGATAGAGACTACAGGTTTTATCTGATCTTGATGAAACTAGATATTCATATAATATATTGATGAGATCTCAATCAGGTTAGAAATTGGTAATATTTTGATGATGAACAGTTTCAGAGTTATTGCCCTTGTGTGCACAGCAATAAGACATTATTCATTGCCTGGCAAGCTATCTTTTTGTTTGAACCCTCATAGACGATCAGTCTGAAAATGCAGAGCTTAGATGTCTATTGTTTTTTAAGAGCAGTAGATATCACTGCTGAAGGTATTGTTCACTTTTAGTATAAGTGGTTGAGAGACACAAATAATGTTGACTACTCTCTACGAATGCTTCTTCAATTATGAATGTCTGTTGTTTTTACATCAACTAGTGAAGGAATTGATAAGTCTTTATCTCTAAATATTAATCTAGAAGCTCTAAATCTCCATATTTCTTTTAGGAGATGAATCAAAAGTTAACCATGGTAACTGTGGAACAAAATGTGCTGGTGTCTACATTGTTACAGTACCAAGTGGACAAGAGACACAAATATACTGGACAATCAAACCTTTAGAAGAACCATCAACCAATGTAGACATGATCAAATCAGTCCTAACACAGAAGAAACAAGAAACTGATCAATTTTATGATAAAGTATGATTCTCAAGATGGGTACAATACGAAAACCGCATAATTCCTTTAAAAATACTTCAAATTTTTAGTCACTATTTCTATATATGTCTTTTCTACATATCACAGAGTATCTTAAATTGACGAGTCGTCATTTTAACATTCAAATGCAGATAATTCTGGACACACATGGATATCATTGCTCAGATTTTGATGGCTTATCGGAAAAAATCCTGTTTCTGAGACTAAAGTATGATTGGTCAAAAAAATGGCGCAACTGTTCTTTCTAATGTATTTTATTCAACAATGTTGGCTTAGTTGATAAATTGCTAGTCTTGGATCCCATTGATTTTCAGTTACTACCAGGTAACTGGAGTTGTGAAGAAAAGGTAATATGTAGACAAGCTATAGCAGGGTTATTATGGTCTAAACAATATTATTATTATCATCCACAAGTAAACCATCAAGGTACATTATTGTTTATTTCATTGATTACTCTACTTATTTATGTTATAAACTGATTTTTCTAGATTTTAACTCTCATTCAGTAGAAGTGGGCTGGATTCTGATTTTCAACATAAAGTTGGCTTCTGTAAAAGTTGCTGGGTTTAGTCATTATATCAAAATAATTGATGAGAGCTGACAATTCTGTCAGATTATGGATCCAGATTGCTAGGAAAAAATTAGATTAAACATCTAGACTGGCAATGAGATTTGACCAGAAAAAGGATATGATGATAAATATGTATATTTAGGTTCCTGTTTTTGTATTTAAGAAATAACTTTTAAAAAACTTTTATGAATTTGATAACCTTTCATTTATGTTGATTTACCTGAAGTGAAAATTATCTATGATTTAAATATTTTTAGAATTGGTAAAATTAAATAAGGTAGCTACTAATTCTTGGAATGAAGACTGGCACCATTTACAGAACCATGATATCATTTCAGTTCCTGATAAATGGGAATTTCCATGGGTAACAACAATATTTATTATTTAAAGATTCCAATTAAGAATCGAAAATAATTTGAGATGAATTGTATTCATGGGGGCTAAATTTTCATGAATTTCGTGGATCAGCCCATTCTTAAATTATTGTTACATAATAAAACCTGTGGAACCAATTAAATAATATTAATATATTTAAGATGGATCAAATCACAATGGTTTCGATAATAATGTGGCATAAAACAATAAGATCAATCCAGACAATAAGAGATTTATTTCAATTTGATACAAAACCCCATCTTTCTATTTTCAGTATGCACCATGGGATACAGCGTTTCAGATGTTAGTAATGGCTAGAATAGATATAAAATATAGTAAAGAACAAGTATTATTGTTTTTATCTGATAGATATATTAAACAGAATGGACAGGTATTTATCTTGTTATTTATTCTTATTAAGCATTATTTCTATCAGCAAATAGGTCATAAAAAACAACATATCCAGTTAAGTTTTAAACTTTATTTTAATATTTATACGTAACGTAAAATGTTCAAAGTAGAATATTGTATAATGAGAAATAATACGAAATATATACAATATCAAGAAATATTAATATTTCTAGAGTCTTAAACTATTATTGAAGCTATAAATGACCTCTGATATTCAAATGAAAGTCTATTGTGAAATTGACTAGGACTGCCTCATGAGAAAAATGTTAATTTGAATAATAAAACTATGATATAAGATAAAAACAAGAACTTAAATAACCTTACCTATTAATTAATAAACAAAAGAAAATCCAAAAAGACAATTCAGAACAAATATCCAAAAGAAATATCTGGCACAGGTAAAACTATTGATTGTAAGGACTTGTGTTAGTAAAATTCATAGATAAGACAGAAATCAAGAGGAGTCTGGGTAGACAAATCAGAAACCATGGTAGAGACCAATAGATAGAAAGAGTGAGTGAGTGAGTGAAGAAATGAACTAACTCAGTTGAATAAGAGAGTAAGAAAGAAAGGAGATAGGTGAACTGTGTTAGTAAAACCTAAACAGTAATAAGAACATGGGTAAAATAATAACAATTGAAGATAAGTGAACAAGGTGTTAGGTTAACTATGTTATATTGTGTTAAGTGAACTAATAAAAGTGAAATACGAACAGTTATTAAAACCTGAATTAAATTAAACAATATTATATAAACCTAAAATATAGCTCCATTACATTTATGTGTTATTCAGACAAAGCAGAACAATTTGTATTTCACAGGTGTGGGAAGATTAGTCATTGAGTGATACTCTTGCTACCTTATCTCACGGTTCAATTCTGTGATTGATACTAGTCTTCAAGTTGTGTTAAGTTGTTTTTATGGCCCTGTGTGCTACTAACTGTTTTAGATCCCTGTTATGTTGGAAATAAGAAAAGGGTAGGTTGTCCTGACAACACTGCATTTAAAAAAGTCCTAAATTTTACTTAGATAGGGGTATAGAAGCAAAGCCTGAACCCTGTGTTCCACATAAATTGATGTTCAAGGATTTATCATATGGTGAAAAAGGAAATTTCACATAGATACAATACAGTGGATGAATATTTTAGTGACTTACAACAATTCACCAACAATTTCTTCGGATCATGGATGGCAAATTGAGTTGCCTATAGAAAAATATGAAGAAAAAACATTGAATTCCATTGTTAATCACAATTGTCTGTGTTTCATTACAGATACCAGGCTGTGAGTTTGATTGTAATGCAGCCAACCCACCATTGTTTGCCTGGATTAGTTATCATTTGTATCAAACAGATCCTCATTCTGATAAACAATTCTTGAAGTCCTGTTTCACTCAACTTCTGAAGAATTTTAATTGGTGTGTTAAACTTTCATTACTATTTTGATCCTGATATCCACATGAAAGTATGTACTGTAGTAAAAATTCGAATTACCAAAGAAAATACCAAGACAGTACTGAGTACATCTGCTTAAAAGGAAGTTTAAATTGAGCCTCTTATTAAGAGTCTGAAGAAAGATTCCTTAAATCAGGCATTTTCTAATGCCAAGATTATTTTGGAGACATGCTATTCACATGTACTGCCTAGCCAAATTCAATTAAGGTCACTCAGCATGCATACTGGTTGTTTTTACCTGCAGGTGGAAAGATACATTGGAAATAAAGGGAAGTAATTTATATAGTGGAGGATTTCTGGGACTGGACAATATTAGTATTATAGATAGAACATCCAGTTCTTTACCTAGTGGCACACAAATACAACAGGTAAGAATAACATTACTTTCACTTTCATCTTGTCTGAAGCGCTGATGTAGCACTCCTTGGCCATCAGAGGAAAATATCATCTAGTTTGCTGATTTTGTGCATAACCCATATAGATTTAACACTAGCGGTTCTGATGAGGAATCATGTATTTTGAACATGTGTTGTCAGTGTGTAATGAGACCCAGTCAATTGAAGCCATTTATATTTTTAAAAGGTTGATGGAACAGCATGGATGGCTTACTATTGTTTAACAATGTTAGAGATAGCTCTAGAATTAGAAGAGTTTAAGAAAGCTGAAATGTTTATAGAGATATTTCTTGAAATAGCTCATCAATTAACTCAATCTATAACTACAACGGGTAAGAATAAACTTAGGAGCTGTTGTGCCTCTGCGAAAAGATACCTGATAAACATGATGAGACTACTGCTGCTGTCATGGTAAATTTCCATCATTGCACACTGTATGACATTGTCTTTCTTCATTAAACTATGATCATGAACATAAGATCCTTAAAGTCTAACATGTTTCCTACTTATGTTAGGCCACAAAAGGTATGCATCTAGCACCTTTAAGATTTTGCAAGAGTTTTTATGGTGGATCAGGAATTGTAGGATGTTAAATTCTATTTCAAAGTTTGGTTATTGTTCCAGGTTTGTGGTTTAATCGTCACAAGTTTTTCTTTGATGTGGTACTTACTGGTGAAGAGAGAAAACCAATCAAGATAGAATCTCTAGTTGGAGTTATCCCCCTTCTCGCATGCAGAATCATTACAATACCAAATGGCTTCAAGAAATCTGCTGTAATTGAGAAATCAAAGAATACTAATTTTGTAAATATATACTATTACACTTTACTTATATAATAATATGAATTTTGATACATATGGATTTCATTAGGCTTTTGCCTTGTGAAATAATTTTTATGACTTGAGCCATGTGGTTAATAAGAAAATATATTTTTGAAATTTGAAGCCTTTAGATTAAAAATGCCTAGCCTAATGCTTATAAAATCAGACTCTCGGAAGCACTGGCAAAGACATCAGCATTTTTCTTACCTAGAGGAAGATTCGAACTCATGGACCTTATCACCTAGCAGAACTAGCTACCGACTGAGATATTCCAGGATTATCTTTGCATATTCATTGTTTTCCTATGATGTATGAATATTAATTTATATTTGTAGGTAAATGAATTAGAAAATGGTGACAAGTTCTTCTTCTCAGTTGTGAATGAATACAAATTCAAACAGGTTTTAAAGACTCTTCTGTTTGAGAGGGAGTTTTTGTCACCATTCGGCATTCGGTCTTTATCAAAGGTGGGTTGTCATATATTTTTACCAGTATACTTATCTTTTTTTTTGCCATGTCTAACTTAAGCTTTAAGCTCAGTGAGTTTGACTTTTTATACACCCGCATGAATATGTGTAATAAATAATAAAACTTGACATCAAATACCATCCTTTAATACCCAACGTTTCGTCAAATAAGTTTTGACTTCATCAGGGGAAGAAACAAACTCCAAATGGTGGAAGGCAATTAAAATTACAATTATAATATGACCTCATAAGGTTTATGACGTCACAATCTTAGAAACCACATAACAAGAGAAGGGTCAAATCACAAAATGGTGGGAGGCAATTTGATTCTTGATGATATGACCTCAGAAGATTTATAACATCAAAATCTTAGATACAACATAACAAGTATGTAATGAAGCAGGAAGGGAAAAAAATATTTTCAATTTAATGTTGCTCCTATGTTTGTTATGTCTAATATTGAAGGGGGTTATTGTCTGGCCAACATACTGAAATTTACATAAATCACCAGTAAGGCAATATATAACGAAATTACTCTGACAATTTAAAGAGTCTTTGATATAAAATGATTTTGAGTGTCTATTGGTGATTGTGTTAGTTGTGTTCATCTTTTCACAAGTTTTTACACATCCCACACTTTTAGAAATATTCACATTTTCTACACACTGTTTTAATTTGTTTTCCCTTAATAAATTTCCCAAGGTCTTATTCCTGCGTCCTGCCACAATGATTTTCCTTGTTTTTAATATGTCTGTCATTCTGTAGCTTGTCCTTAAAATATCTGTGTCTTTGGCCATTTTGTGTAGATTTGGTTGTCGTGGGTCATAGGTGTTAGTCCATGGAATAATCTTCATTTTCTTTTCATCTTCTTCTGCTTGGTGTTGGAGAAATAGCAGTTCATGGCGTGATCTTTCCTTGCCTTGCTAAAGGCAGTTTCTACAGTGTGGTCTTTATATCCAGAATTCTTCAGATGTTTAGCAAATTTAAATAATCTATTGTTTTCCCATTCTTTCTTACTACAAATTCTTCGTATTCTGAGTGCACCACTGAAAGGTATTGATTTAAAAGTATGTCTAGGATGGCAGCTGCTAGGTGGTAGATAGTGGTGGCTAGCTGTTTCTTTACAGAATAGATCAGTTTCTAATCTGTTACCCTCTTTAATTACTTTTACATCTAAAAAATTCACTTTATCTGTGTCAATATCCATTGTAAATTTAATTTTGGGGTGAGGATTATTCAATTTGTGTAAAAATTTGTGAGATTCTTCTGGTGATTTAGTAGACAGAGCCCAAATGTCATCAATAAATCTGCAGGATATGTCTGGTTTTTCAGATAAAGAATTCCAAAATTTATTTATCCAATATGTCATATAGATATTGGCATATGTAACTGCAAAGGGTGTCCTGATAGATGTCCCAGATATCTGTCTGAAGAAGTTCCCATTGAATTCAAATTCATTGTTGTGCAGAACAAAGTCTGCAACTTGTAGAATGCTATTAGTTTCTTCTAGACTGATGTTGTTCGTTTTCTCCAGAGCATCTTTCAAAGCATCCAAACCTTCAGATATAATGATGTTGGGATAAAGGCTAATAACATCAAGAGTAAGTAGGTGACTATCTTCTGGTATAGATCTGTTGTTGAGAGATTGGATTTTTTGCAGAAAATGAGTGGTGTCTCTGACAACTTCATGACAGTAATCCTGAGCTACCTCTTTTAATTTCCAGTCAAGCCATTGAGATGCCTTATATGTAGGAGCTGTTATCTGACTACATATGGGTCTGCCAGGTGGAATTTCTGATGTAGTTTTAACTTTATGTATTTTGCCAAGAATGTAAAAGTGGGCTGGTGTCTTAACTGGTCTATGGAGGATAGCTTCCTTCTCTTTATCATCAATTTTCAATGAATAAATTAAATTTTTCAGTTGATCATGGATTTCATTAGAATTATCTTTCCCTACCTTATGATACACTGATTCGTCCTGAAGATGTTTCTCACATTCTTTGATGTAGTCTTGTCAGTCCCCACATGAATATGTGGTCGTATATTGTCATCGCCCCTGTCCGTCCATCCGTCCGTCCGTCAGCATTTCTTGTGAGCAATATAGAGACTACAGTTTTTATCTGATTTTGATAAAACTTGGTGTGATGCTTTAGATTGATAAGATCTTGGTCAAGTTCGAATTTGACATATTTTCGATGAGATATTGCCCTTGACTTAGCACGCCTTGAAATTTGTTAAAAATAGTTCGTGAGCAGGATTGAAGCTACAGTTTTCATCCGATTCTGATGAAACTTGGTGTGATCATTGGAATTGATAAGATCTCGGACAAGTTCTAACAAGAGATATTTTTGATGAACATTTTTTGAGTTATTGCCCTTGACTTTGTAAACACGCATCAAAAGTTGTTTTTTGCCCTTGATTAGAGCTGTGTGATTTAATTGTTTGTTGTATTTGGGTTATTGATATTGATTTTAAAAAATTTTGTGAAATTATTTGGCATAAATAATTTCTTCAATATGAGAAAATTTGTACTTTAGTCACTAAAGACTGTTTTATTATTTCTGACAGCTGCCAGTGGGCATATGTTACCTTGCAACGCAAGCTATCTTCTATGTCCAAATAAATGTTAATGGAAAACATTTTTATAACAGAATGTCTTGACAGGTCTATGATTATGAAAGTGGTCATATGTTTAATCCATTAACCAATCAAAATGAGTTATTTTGCTACTGTCCTGGTGAATCTGATTCTGATTTATTTGGTGGAAATAGTAATTGGAGAGGTCCAGTGTGGTTACCAAGTAAGTAATGTTGATTTTTTTAGTTATGTGGGTTAGAGGACATAGCTTGGAATCCTGGTCAAGGCAAGACAAATTGCTGATGCCAGTAAGTGATTAAGACCTTGAGTTCATGCAGATTCTCAGTGCCATTCTCAGAAATCATATCACTCATAGAACTTCTCTACAGGATGTTAATCAATATTTGGTATGATTTGTATTTGAACTGTTTAAGAATGTTAATTTTATTTTTGATTAATTCAAAAGAATGAATTTTGTTTCAGTGAATTATTTACTAATAGAAAGCTTAAAGTTATATGACAGTGTGTATAAGATCAAGATGTGTTACCCGTCTGAATCAAACAGACTCATAGATCTGAGTAAAATAATATCAGATTTAAAACATAGGATATCCAGTTTATTTACTTTTAATAAAGATGGTAAAAGACCTCTACATGGTAAGATATAACCTTATCTAGCCTGCAAAAATTTTTAGATTAGGGTCAGAAAAACTAAATCTGTTTTTAAAGACAGAGTCCAGGGCTCATACAAGAATGTTACATGAAATTATTGTCTGAGCAAAGTAAAAAGGTTTCTTCCCATGGTTTTTATGAGAATAAGATTAGCAGCCTCAAAATAGTACTGTCAGTCTTAGAATGTCTTTGCATTGATAAAAATATAAGCACACATAATGTCTTCAAAATTTGTTTTTACAGATGACAATTTTCAGCCAAAATTTGACTTTTTTTCTAAGAGAGAAATGTGTTTCTTTCAATGTAAACTTACAAAAGATTATATTTTTATCAACGCCATTCTCAGACTATCAGTGCTATTTTGAGGCTGATATTCCAATTCTCTTAATAAATATTGAAAAAATACAAAAAAAGTCTTCGATTTGCTCAGACAATAGGTAATATAGGATATGACTAAGGATGAGTTTTTGCCTAGTTTAGAAAACCTGAAAAGAGCAAGGCAGGCCATAGAATACCCTAAAGCAAAGATTAATTCACATAGAAACTAAAGCCTTGTGGATCATCTTATTCTGCTTTGGATATATAATCAATCATCAGAACAGTTTATATGGGGATTACATTAACACTATTTATATTGGGGAAATAAGAACACCTGAAGTAAACCAGTAATAACTTAATAATTGTAGGTGATATCAAAGAATACAGTAAAACTGGTGGCTGGAAAGATCTCATTTTATTCTATGAATATTTTAATCCTGAAACAGGAAAAGGATGTGGAGCAAGGTAGATTAATATTTTTAAAACATATGAATGATTAACAAAGAGAGAAGTGAGTGTGTCCAGGTTTAGATTTTGTCATTGATCCCATGTGGTTGGAAAGTTTTCAATCTGATAATCTAATGGAGTCGAATGGAGGGGGTATTGACTGTGGATTGTGTTATTTAGTAGTCGAGATAGGGGTCACGGAATTAGCCATAACTGGGTCGTTGGCAGGGGTAGAATAAAAGAGATAAAGATTGGCTATCTGACCAGTTATCCCTGATTATCAGTGACTAGTTTCGTTCATGTTAAAACTCTTCAGACTGACTTCAGACTAAGGTGAGTCTAATCAGTCTGAAGAGTTCAAACACGACCGAAACTGATCACTGATAATCAGGGATAACTGGTCACATAGCCAATCTTTATCTCTAACAGGGATGATTAGGGTTTGTTTTTTTATTCACCCAGAAACCACACATATCAAAAAGAACTTGGGTATGAAGACAGGTGCCCATCAACACTGCAATTCAGAATTCCGTAAGTTGGCTAGACAATTTAGTTGTGTTGGCAATGTGACTTGAACACAAAGAATTCCAAATGAAATCCTTTTATAAATCTTTAACTGACAGCGACAGTGTTTAGAATTATTATTCCTGAATGTCTTATATATTTTTCAGCCATCAAACTGGTTGGACATCCTTGATCTTTCTAATGAATAGTTTTGGAGAAGGATAACATTAACAGGCCTTCGTATTTAATTTTTAAATTATATTATATATTATACTATGATATATTAATACAGTGGTGTAATATTTACATCATGTGTTATGGATAGTTTGTTTTAGTTTAACTATTGGAACAAAAAGCATTATTGATAGTTTATTTCTAATGGTTTTATTATATCTTATATTTTGTTGTTCTATTGCTATTTATTCATTTTGAATTGCAAAGTCATTGTGGGGAAAGACTGGACAGTTGGTTTGGAAATTTCCAATGATCATAACTAGCATGAATGCTTTGTTAACTTGATGTATAAATCAAGGATATAGTCTGAGTTTGAAACTTTAGAAATATTTACCAGTCCACCTTTTCAATGTTTTATATCAGTTACTAAAGCAGGTTACTCACTTGACAACAACATCTCATATTATGTTGCCCATATACATAGTCTGTCAGTAGAACTTAATATTTGCATCCAAATGTTTGAGAGAAGTTACTGAACTCGCCTATCAGGAGACACTGCCATTTTAGGTAAACAAGAGAGCTATGTGTCTGTCATTAGAATTCATATTTAGAATAAAACTTGGGATAAGTTAGTGAACTAACAAATCATGAGAAATTGACATCCCTCACCAAAAGAGCTGTGGGTACCTAATTAATAAAGACAAATATATTATTGTAAACAAATTAATGTATTTGATATTATCATAACAAAGTTTATTTATATTTAGAAAACAACAAATATCACTATAGATAGATTTATACATGAAACAGTTTGGGATGAGTTCAAATATGAAATGTTTTCAGCCAACACCGCAAAAACCAATCAAATGGATCAATTTATTTCACGGATATGGATTTCACATAAAAGGGTGTGATTAATTTCCTGTTAACTTTTTAAAAAAAAAAGTCCAAGTGACAGCTTTTGTGGTAAAGGGCCAAATAAAGAGTTTAAAGAAAGTAAACCAGTAACTGAAAATATCAATAATTAGATGAAAATAGTAATTGCCATTTGATGAAGAAAATGTGGTGTAATGATGAAGTATATACAATAATAGTTATTTACTGCATGTTAAAAGGAAACAGTCAAATAATTATTCTTTTTATGTTTACGAAATTATCAGCTTACCTGTGATTTTGAACCCTTTTGTTAAAATTATGTGTACTGTGGGACTATTTCACAACTATATCCCTTAAAGCTGTTTTTTGATTGGTTTGAAAATGAAATGAATGGTGTTGTACGTCCTTTGATTGGTTTGGCATCAACAATTTGTATCTCATAAACCAATCAGAAAGCAACTTAAAGAGATATAGTAACACGATTGTCCTTCAAGTTTACACTTTATAACCTATTCACCAGTTTTGATGTTTGAATTGCATGGTTAGAGGAAACATGCCTTTAATATATACAAATTATTGAAGGATATAATGCCATATATATTGAGGTAGTTATTTTATATATAATATACATTTTAAAACAATTGAAAACAATAAAGATTTAATATTTAAAAAAGTGTGCATAATTAATACATTACTCTTGAGGAAAGCTGAAATTAAATATCATCTATGAATTGACTCAGAAACTCTTTTTGTAATTTTGCAAGAATTCACAGTAACATTTTCAAATTATAGAAAAAATGAAAATTGTTTATTTCTTAATGTTATTTGAAAGTTTTGCTTAATAAAGGAAAAGTTAAAATGTATTCTATCACCCTTCAGATGTGCACAACTTACTTTGTTTCGAGTTAAAATAATAAGATGGTTTCTGATGGTGACATAGAGCCCATAGTTTATTACCTTTACTTTCTGCTTGGTTGTGCACATCTGGAAAGTGGTGAGTTCTGAGTGACCACAGAAAAGACAAAAATTTTAGAATAGAAAATATTTCGTGTCCATCATTGAGTAAATAATTATTGCACAACCCTGTGATATGTTACAGAAATAAAAACAGTTTGATTTTTGTCAGGAATTAATTTGGTAAAAATTATTTTGTAAAATTAAATAGTGACTATAAATCTAGATCCCTCTCTAAGAATTTACATTCAGATAAGAACTGCAAAGAACTACAAATTTGAATTTACAGTTATAATGCCTGAAGTTCATAAAATATCTAAAGATTTGTTATTAACTACAATTTTTTATTAAAAACATTTCTGTTACAAGAAACTCAGATGATAATATTTTTTAAGAAACCAAGCCATAACAATTTTATCACCATTAATTAGAACTTTAGTCAGTTGATACCTGGGTATATTAGAAACCCAAATATATATGGTAAAATCATATTTTTATTCTGCAGCTCTTATCTGAATATTGCCATTTAAACTATCAGCTGCCTTAAAAAATACAATATTGTATGTTACATAATATCCATTCATCACTAAACACCACTGGCTGGGTTGTAGGAGTCCTGTTCAGATAGAGGTATTGTTATAAAGCCACCTGAAAATACACAAACAATCTGATAATTACCATCCATCTACAAGTTTATTGGATAATGACATCAATTTCTAGGACCATATATTGTCTTAATACAAATGGGTCGTTCAAGTAAACAGCAAAATTTGTTCAGATATTGGGGTTACAGTTTTTTTGGACAATGTCAATTATCACATCAAGTCAGATAACAACCTTAACTCATAGTAGTTGTACATTAATGCAGACAAAATATTGATATAATTAAAATTGCCCTATCTACCCATCAGACTTATATCATACCATTACTGTGTTAAAATATCAAGATAAGCTTACCTTGAGGTTCAGTAAATAAGACCATTGACCGTCTTGGAACTGAGACTGGCACAGATTGCTCTTGTTGGCACACTTCACACACTTTCTTACGAATTGGTGTTGGTCTAATAATTCCCTGAAATTCATTTTCATGACCAGAACACTGAGCAGACATTCGTGAAGCACCACTGTACATTGAGGTCACATGACTATTACTGACAGCCATGTGCTTGCTATGGTAATCAGTAGCCAAAGAATAGCGTTTATTTGAAGATCGTGAATGTGAGGGTACAGAAGGCTGACAAGAAACAGTTTGATCTTCACAATAAGACTTGGAAGTAGAGTGAGAAATGCATTGCTGATTTAATGGGAGATAACTCTTGCCCATTTTAATACCACTAGTGCTATATTTGATTTCTTTGGAGGTGGAAAAGGTATGACTTCTATGAAGAGATATCACAGTACGCGGTTGTTTTTTATACGAATATAATCCTTTAGTCTGACATGAACTATTATGGGATGTAGTGTTATGACTTGAGGGATTCCTAGAGGATGATTTCACAAGGGCTTGACTAGGTACACAATAATTAGGGGTTTCACGTGGCTTGATAATAGATTTATGTACACTTGAATATCCAGTATTACAACACACTGAACAAATATTTTCCTGAGCATCGTCCAATTTGTCATCATTTTCACTTTCACAGGATGATGGACTGGATTTGTCCTCATCAGTTTCTACAATCTCTCGGGTCCTTTCTCGAGAGACATGCACAGGACCAGACGTCTGCTTCACTAAACAAGATGGCCGCACTTTGATTGGAGGTAATTTTGAGGTTGCTTGATCCTCATTGTTTGATTCATTCTTGCCACGATAAACATCTGAATCATTACTACTAGTATCGCTAATATCCTTTGTATCACTGCTACCATATGTACTTTTGTTGCTATCTATTTGTGTTTGATCTTGCTGCTTTAAACAATCGCACTCTAAACTAGAATCACTTGGATTTGGATCAGAGCTGCTACTTCCACGTACAGCAATGATACTCGAAGATCTTGGCACATTTACATATTCCTGATTTTTGTCCACACGATCACGCTTTGAACTAGGCACAGAATTCCTGTAATAGTTTGAATGCATGTTTGATGAACGATGATAGCTGGTACCACTACAACCATATTTTCCTTGGCAAGAATATGGAGAAAGGCTGTATGGACTGGGTAAAGATTTCTTAATGTAAGCACTGACTGGTCTGCTGAGTAAGGCTCGAGAACGAGCTTGTGAGGTCTCAGAGGTATGATAATGATAATCTGATAAGGAACTACAACCTGAATTGTCTATATAATGATAACCACTGGTGGAGCCAGCAGTCCCCTCACATGATGGACATGTGACATATTGTCTGTGATGGTGAGATGTATGATGATGTGATACGTGTGATGGATATTGGCCACGTTGATGATTATATGATGAGTAATGACTATTTTCACCACGTTGTTGTTGTTGTTGACTATATTGTACACTAGAAGGATGATTGCCTGATGGTGCAGATTGCGTAGGATTTGAATTTGCTATATTATTACCCGTCTCAACTGCTGTTGTCTCCTTTTGAGCTGAAAAGATAAAAAAAATTTACCATACATAAATGAACAATGCTTACATTGTAAGACAATAGAATTATACCACAGACAAAACACTGTAATTAATATAAAGTGAAACCTCTTCAGGATTTCTTGTTAAAGATCTTCATTATAGTCAGATAGCAGAAGAGAGATCAAGCTGTTTTTATCTTTTATCTTGTTAATTACTTTCAAAATGGATACGATACAACACCTCACATAAACCTCACTGAAGATAGTAGTGAGATAGGCGTAGCTATTGAGGAAGAGCATTTTCGATCTTGAAAACCACCCTCCAACTGAGTTCCAAATTTGAAATATATCTGGAATACTAAAACTACTTACCAGTGATTTTAAAATTACAAAGAGGACAACGACCTTCAGATATCAACCATGTATCCACACATTTCCGATGAAATTCATGAGTACATGGCAACACTCTTAATACCTGTAACAATAATTATATTCATATCAAATTGTATGACCAAATACCCCTTCTATAACGCAATGCTGCCTAAATTTAATTACTTTTCATTATAGGAAGATCAAAGGTGCAAGGATAGGTTGACCATAAAGTAGAATTTTTTTTTCCTTTTCACAAAGTTATGTTCTTTCTTTATAATAATGATAATACAAGAACAAATAAAACAAGATATTCCGTAAGATTGGGGAAGTCAAATGTAAAATATCTGGAAGTGGAAAGTTGCAGATCAACAGTTTCTTTATTGAGGTGTCCAGAATGCTAAAAGTTATTGACAATCTGATACTTATCATTACAATTTCATGGTTCATCCCTTCTTCACTTTGCAATCCTTGAATTGGCATCCCAACTAAATGTGGACTAAACCATCCATATTACTTTTTAAAAATTTTCCCTACCTGTCCATCTTGGTAACCTTCAAGACATATTGCACAATTATCACATCCAGTAGATGAATAACAACTAGAATCGGAATTTGGCGTATGAATCTGTTGTTGTTTCCCTGGTGCTAGTTTATATTTTCTCGTTTCCATTTTAGCAATTGCACGTTTGGCAAGACTTGATTCAGACAACTGTAAAGATAAGATGGATATCGAAAAACAATTGCTTTTGAAACTGAGCTTAGCGAATGGCTGCATTTGAGGTAATCAAATGAATTTTGAGGCTCACCCACATACAAGCAACTCCCTGAGGAATTTGGTAAAAACTGGAACCGTGAAGGATAAACGTAATTTAATAATTTAGGCCTCATGGGACTTGATTTCATCCAATTATTGCTAAGGAGACATTTGATTTCTTCCAATCAAAGCTAAGATGACAATAGCTCCAACTAGTTATTGGACAGAATGAAGGACCAGTTTAAATATTAAGAAATAGTGTAAGTGCTCACCTGTCTATCTCTATGCCTGTATCTTAACTGAAAAATAAATATTAAGACCAATTAACTAATTGCATCAATATTAATTAAAATATTACATGTTATATGGATTAAAAATTATAAATCCTTTGTCATGATGTTTAATGATACAGTGCAATGCCAAGTTGTAAATATTATTCTATTTCAAAATACATTATGCACTTTCAGAATTAATAAGTTTCATTATTTGTGTTTCTAATACACATACAGAAGACTTTAAATCTCTGGTAAATCCCCTCAAAACTAATGCATTAGCAAACATATTTTTCAATTTCAACAATTCTTGTCAGATTCTTGACAAACATTAGTAATGAATTCAACAATTCAAAATTTGAAAGAATATGTCAGATATTCACCAAAAAAATGAGCCCTGCAACATATTAAAAATATACTGTGTGCCCCAAAATAATATTAAAACCATTATCGCACTTACTTTTAATATCACAAAAACACAAATTAAACAAAATATAATAAATACTGCTACAAATATACCCATATCAAAATATTCTTTATGACTAATCTGAAATAAGAATACCAACAACACATTTTTAGGTACTGAATTGCCCAAAGGGAATGCAGAGTTTTCTGTATATGGCATCAGGTTTTCTAAAAGGGTGTGTATGATCTGTGTCTAGCTAGTGACACCCAACACAATACCTTAAGTGAATAAGGGAAATTCTTTAAATTTTCCAGACCTGGAATCAGGCCTTTTGGATTATAGGTTAAACAATCATCTATGTGTGGAATAAATATAAAATAAAAATGATGAGATAATGCTGGTTAAATTAGCTAAAACCATTGCTGAATGAATATGCATTAGTTCAATTGACTTTTGCCTTATAGCGCCACGGAGCAGTATTTTTTTGCTGGATTGTAGGCGCTCTACAAATGAATCATATTATTATTATTATTATCAGATTTCTAAATTAACCTGGAACCTTGTGTCCACTTCAATTAGTTTGATTAGTTTCTCATAAGCCAATTTTGCTGGTAAATTAACACCAATTTCCAAAACTAACAGTCCTTGATCCAAATATTTTGCAGCATGAGATGAGCTGTACTCAATTAGCTAAGAGAAAGGCACTTGGCTTACTTCACCTCCAACTATTAACAGAAAGACTTTCCACCAACCTCAACATTATCCTGAGTGGCATCCTGAGAATTATAAATAATCCGAATACGAGCTTCATCCTGTGTGTTAACAATTTTCATCAAGCGATTAGCGTCAAGACCTCGTACTAATATCACTGGACGACTGTGAGTTAAACTGGACTTCTGTAACTGAAAATTTAAAAAATAACATAAGATAACACATAAAAGATGTTGATTTCAAACATCTAAAAACTGGACAGTTGGATTTTTATATGCATGGGGTTTTGATGCAATAAGTGAAGAGCGATAAATTTTCTGATGCCAATGTTTTCAAGAGTAAGACAACATGATGTCGAAATTACCAGATGTATGTTATTGGAAACATAATATGTTTGTGACCATCTACAACATCAAAATTACTTACTGTTTGAGCAACCTCCAGATTATCTGAGATATCAAATATTACAGCAGTTGCACCCCTTTGTAATGCTCTCCCTGCCTGGAAGATAAAAACAGTACAATAACTTTAATGACAGTCAAATAGACTGGACACCTGGAAAATAGAGGTTACTAGCTTTAATCTTTGTTGGTGTGCGAAAGTCTAGTGTTCTTAAATAAATGATGATTGTTCGTTCGGAATCAAGACAACTCAGACCAAAGACACTTTTGACAAACTTTTAAAGGCAATTTGAAACACTTTTTAAAGACAACTTTTGATGACTTATTTTAATTAGACTTGTGGATGATTGTAGCTCCACAAAGATATAATTAGAGTTTACATGTTTTTTATTTCTAATATAACTGAATAACTATTGTTTATCATTTTACGGAATAATTACAGAATAACTGCGTCTGATATGTGCAAATGGCGGTGTGAAAATGCGGTTTCAACTAGGGTTATGCCCCTTGACAGAAATGATCTAAGGCAGCTACTATTCCTAAAATATTCAGACAACAATTTACATTTAAATTGTCCCAGCTATTCCACATATTGGGGGCCATGGGCTAGATTGCTCAGCAAATTACTGATAAGTGGAAGACATTCACGTCAACATTTATGGAAGTAAGGTCATTGTCTTCATGCTCGTGATGCTGAAGTTAGACTTTTACAGAAACACCAACAAGAACACTTCCCTGATAAAATTTGTTATCTTAAGAAATTTACTGCCAAACCTAAGCCACAGTTGATAATCCAACTTGATAGTCATTTGCCTCTCTGTTTGACTATGACTGGATAATCTAGGAAAGATTATTGCTAAGGGGATTGGCCACAGATCAGCTGGTAGACAAGATTGTTATCATTGGAATATTATGGGCTCTCTTTCATAGAGTTTTATGGGTTTATTTAATCATACTCGATACTGACATGACTGGTACTTTCATTTCCTATCTGATAATACTTTCACATATTGCTCAAAACTCGAATTTCATTAAATCATTATTCTTTAAAAAAAACAAACAATAGAACGAAATTCAATTGTACTTTTGCTCAAATCCTGGTTTTCTTTGTTTGTCTGAATCAGTTTTTGTCTATAAAAATAACTCAAAGAAAGGAAACATGACAAAAGAGAATATGTAGCCAATTTAATTCGCAAATCAAAAGCAAACTTTTTTAATCAATTAAGTGAAAAGCTATAATCAATTTAAAAATTCTTCAAAGAAACTGGTTTTATTTCATCTTAGTTCAATTGAGAATTCCTTCACAGACATGTCTTATAAAGCTAATCAAATCTGTGGTGAAAAGAATTCTCTACAAAAAGATCCTCTTGATTTTCCACTGTGCATTTTTAGAGCAATTAAATGATTACCTACAGCTGTATTGATGTGAAAATTAAGTGGTTTTGATGCATGCATTCCAGGCCAATTTTTATGATATGTTGTAATTTTGAAATTAACAGAGACATTAAAAAGAAACAAATATCAACAACTTAAATTCTTAAAGACCCTGTCTGCCAGCTGGTCCTTTGCCAAACCTTTTACCATTTATGGCTTCTATTCATTCATTCCAATTTCCTATCAGACGTCTGTTGTTTCTGTGATATAGAAACACTTAACCATATATGATGTCCCTATCTCAAAAGCTGCTAATGGTATTCCAGGGACTTCCAGGGACAATAATAGCTACATGTGGAATTGCAAGAACCAAACAAGTCTGACTGAAAATTGGTTTGATGCAAAAAGAGCCTATAAATGTCCCTGATACATTTAAAAGGTTTAGAAAATCTCTTTACAATCCCTTTAACACTCTTGCTGATAATATAAAGTAGATTTTTAATAGACTTCCTCAGTTATTTATAAAATATCATGTTTTTCTACTTGTACAAATAATATAAAATACATGACCCCTTTAAATTGTAGTTTCATTGTCCCCCAAGTTTTATGGATCAAGTGTATGAATACCTGTATAGCCTTCCTCTTACCACAACTATGTATTAATATATAATAGAGTGCTTTCACTGAGAGACTAAGTGAAGAAATGAAATTAACAAGTGTTCTATTTGCTAAATTGCTGCTCCTGATAGGGCTAATGAATTTAGAACCCCATGAATTGTGCAATGAACGAAATTTTGATACCATCAGCATAATTTTAGAGCTCATTGGTTCTTTGTTAATTCTCCTTCAACCCAATAATGATGATAAGTAAAGAAATGGCCAAAAGGAGATGATGGGATGATGTTGTTTGAAAATTCTACCTTTCCAGCATTTTAGAGTCATGTATGTATTTTATGTTCATTGCACACTGCACTACCTTGCCAGTCTTCATTAGCCTAGTAATATATAAAATTCATTTCATTTCATTTAATATTTTGCTAAAGGTTCCCATGCGAACACAGTAACACCTCATTAACTCTTCTATTTGAAGTTTATTAAATGTTATGAGATCTAAAGAGATTTTATTATTAATGAACAGCATATTTGTAAATTCACTAATGATACTTCATTTACTGTTAGGTTTTCTTTAACACATATTATAATGTAGGTGTGGCATTAATTGCTCTGTAATACTTCAAACTTCTGTCAACTGTTTAACAACTAGCAGAACAGTGTTTGACAATAGTCACAATTCAGTTTTAATTTCAGAGATCAAAGATGAAGCTTGATGCAATCAGTTTGGTTGTTTTATTTAATAAAAGGTGCTATTAAATTTTGTCAATTCCAATATATTATCTGGTAAACAAACAAAAAAACCAATAGATCCTAACTAAATGAAAGGAAATGGAATTTGAAACCTTACTCATTTCGCCAGGAGAATTTTAAACCTTAAATTTTACCAGGAGAGTGGCATTAGCCTACTTGATTCTGATTCAAAACTGTCAGGGAGTCAGATTATTATCAAATAGAAACGACCAGACCTTTTTCAATGTTAACTACCCCAATCTCTGTTACTGACAGGGGGAAACCGGACCTACAAGCACCAGAATTCAACCATGAACCAATAGTTTGTCAAATGTAGGTCTACCTTGTAACACCCCTTGGTTCCTGTATGATTTCAAACAGAACTCTCTGCTGCAATGACCATCAAACATACCTATGAAATTTAAGCACCAATCAAAGACTTTATTGAAATTGAGCCCCATCACAATTTTTTTTTACCTTTGATTCGACTTCAAATGGATCTTTGAGATATAAAGCTATTTTTGATTTACGTTTGTTGTAAAACAGCTGACTTTTCAAAAGAAAACAAATCAATAAAAAAAAATTGTATCTTTGATCAAAATCTGACATAAAGGAAATTAAAAGTTATTTTTGAAATAAACAACAAAGTTAACAAGTTAATGACAACATCAATAATTAACCAAGATACAAAAATTTAAATGCATTCATTTCCTTTTTCATCTTTATAAGTTGTTTTTTTATTTAATTTTATGACTGTTGACACTCTGTTGCTAATCTCCAAACACAAATTATATCAATTTCACTAAAAAACAGTTTTTCTTTATAATCAGATATTTCGTAATTCTAAATGTCATCAAATTACAAATATCTTTCATTTCTTTTTTGATAATAGTTACTAACGCGGATTCTTGGTTTTAGCTTTTTCAAGTTTTGAAAATTCGGTGAAAAAATGGCATGGAAATTAGTGTTCAAGGGATATAGAACTGGACTGACAGGGTTAGCTGAAATTGAGCAGATGTCCAGTGGTGTACCAGATCAGTGGTTCAGGGCACAGACCAACTTAATGGATGTACAACTGTCGAAGTTGAGATTCAAAATGCAACAGCTCTGTGGAAAAATCTTGATTAGGTGCATTTTGATACATATTTTTTGACAAAAACATATAAAAATCCTATTTTTTAGAAATGAGGTGGTGGCACATTGTCATTGTTTAGGTGGGAAAATGCCCCCGCTCTGCCCCCAATGATCAGGTTGCAATACATATAACACTCAAATTCACAAAACTCATCTTAACTTTCAGATAATTTCAATAATTCAAGTAAATTTCTATAAATCGCAAAATTCAGTTCAATTTCCATAAATTAAGTACAATTCAATAAATTCATTTAAGTATCAATAAATTTAAATTAGAAAGACAAATTGATGATTTTCCATAATTCAAATATGTCAAAAATATTTAGGAAAACCACTTGTTCACAGTGGAAACTGAAACTTGAAAAATGTCCTGTTTCATGTATATTGTCAGAAATTCACAAAAATACAGAATATAAGCTTACCTTATCAAAAATTGAAAGACAGGGTTCTGGTTCCAATTCTGGTTTCTCAAGTTTAACCACACCAACCCAACCAAACTGATACAGTTCATCATAATCATTTGTGTTGCACAAACCCAGTGGATGGAGCTGAAATGACAAAAAAATACAAAACATTAATTTTGTACATCCTTTAGGGCTAATTTAGCTTACCTATGACATGCAGTCTGGCAGCATTAGTTTACTCTTTTTCCAATATGCAAAGTCTGTAGCAACAGTTTTTCAGTTTAATATCCATGAGTATCTTTTTTTGTAATAAATGGGGTAGTTGACAACATCAGTCTGCATATTTTTTTTATAGGTGCAAGTTCTAGTCCTGGATATTTTAGATATTTGTGATGAAACAACAGTGGTAATATGAATTTAAAAGTTTTTGGTCTGTTGGTGATTATACATGTGTGTCTGTTGTTAGACACCTCATGATGCTCAAGGAATTGTTCTATTTAATCATCTTATATAAAAACACTTCAGTTCCAATCAAATTCATGATTTCAAAAAATAATGAAAAAAAAACTGCTTGCATAAAAACATTTGTCGGGTGAATAAGACATTATTCATGAAGGAAGATATTGGATGGGGATTTTCTCATGTACTCTGTTTATTCTTATCTTGATATAAATTAACCATGTTAACCCCTAGTTTCACATCTCTACAAACACAAGTACCAGTTCCCTGTCATTAACACTAGGTTTTTGATGCCGATTACGGTTTTTATAAACTATGAAATACTTGAAAAGAAACAGACAACCTCCAGTAAAGAAATTGAGTTATTTTGTCATGGGGAATACTTGAAATTGGTGTTAAAATGGAGCGGTTCAAGTGCAAGAAGCACAACATGATATCATGCTAAGATAATGAGTGTGGGAGATAGTTGACATTTTCATCCAAAAACTACATGTTACACGAACCAGCCATACGTTGACTTTCTCAGAACTGTTTCTTATCAAACCAAAGCTTTAACATTAAACTGAACAATGCTTTACATCCCCTTCATGAGACCAGGGTTATTGGCTTCTGGTTTGATTTTTTAGCCATATGTGTTCAGAGCTGCCTATGAAAAATTCATGGAATAAAGATAATTTCCTTGCTTCAAAAGTGGTGGTTAGCAAAATATGATTTGAATCTGAGCTTCAATTAATGTTTCTTTAATATAGTTTTTTGTATTCTGTAGCCAATGTTCAAGATTTGATACTTTAATGCCAGAAATTTTAGGAAACCTGTTACATCCAACCTAAATGTAAATTTCAGAGACTAAAGGTGGATCAAATCTTTTTTAAATATGTGAACTTTGGGACCCTAAAACATCCAACCTAGCTGTAAGAGTGAGAGTGGTTGTAACAACAATATATATAAAGCACAGGCCAAGGTTTTAAGGTCACTATTGCATCGAAACAAGATACATAGGGATACATTTTAAGGACCCTGGGTGAGTAAAGTCTAAATTAACGGTGTGAACTTTGTGACCCTTAGGTGTAAATTTGAAGACCATAGGTTGGGGAGTCAAATCTCTTTTCAAAGATATGGGGGCCCTAGAACCTTCAACCTAGGATGATAAGGTGTATATCTTAAGGATCCTAGACGGGTGCAAAGTGTGTAGAGAAATGTGTTATCTAGAGAAGAAGTGAGTACAGCACACCTGTTGTTATTGTATGTATTATGGAGGTAGAAGTTAAAAGGTAAATAATCTCTTTGATGTGTATAATTTTATTATATGAGAATTGAGGTCAGGTACAATCATATCTCTAGTATTATACTGTCAATTTCTCACTTTATACTGTCATTTATTTTACCTGGCCTAGTCTAACATGCTAAAGTCAAGTTATATAGCTGTGTGGTTATTGTGTTTGCACTTAATTATGAATGATGTTAAAATACCACCTTCTAGAGTTTGAAATATTTTGTAAAACAACATTGTTTCAAATTTCGAGGTTTTTTCATGTTTTTGTTCTACATGAGTTGCAGAGTTTACCGATTCTTGCAGAAACTCTCTTTCTCCATTCTCTTACAAGTTTTGTTTAAGAATATAAGTAATATAAAATGAAATATCAATTCAATCTAAGAACAGTCCAATTTGACAACTCTGTATATGATTTCCAATTATCAAGAGATCTTTAATGTGCATTGTTTTCAGAGTTTCATTTTCCTTTGAACCTTTGATTCCAGTGAGATATCAGAAGGCACTATCTAGAAGGATCAAACAGTGATCTTCAGATTTTTTAGTTTGAATACTGAAAAGAGAAACTTTTATAAACATAACACAGAAAGCCTTACATTTAGGAAAGTCTGCAACTTGTAATTCTAAAATGTGTTAGGCGTTTGATATGTGATCATTATAATTTGTAAACATTTTATGTACAATACCAAGTATTCAATCAAGTCCACTTGGAGTATTCTATCTTTTTAACAAGTTTTCCTCTTAAAATTTCTTTGATTTACATTTGAAATCTGACAAGAGACTGTTATGTAACCAAAATACACATTTCAAGTATGTTGTAGCTTTTAACAAGTAATCTTAAGTTTTATCAATGGTAGTGACAAATATCTTGAGAAATTTTACTCCAAAATTCACCAAATATTATATAATATCATAATAAAACAATAGCAAAACATATTAAACAGTAGTCAGTGTAATAATTGAAGGACACAGGCTGAAATAGTACAATAGTCATCTGAATGCTACTTGTTAAACTTTAAACAGTTCAGACTGTAAAGTGTTATGGAAAAACTATCTTGTGTCATTTTCTGAAGCGTTGCGCTTATCAATGTCTTTTAGTCATGAATCAATCATTTTTGTTCCATATTCAATGCTGACTGAAAATTAGAAGGGATAATTGGCAAGGATAATTGCCAAAAATTGATTAAAGACCAGCTAGAGGACTTGATCATCAAGGAAATTTTTTATCCTTGTAAGATATGATTGTTATTTTCTTTATTTATTTGCCTCCGCATGAGTAAAACGTAAAATACTGGTTTCAATATTTTTATTGGGTGGTTCATCTTTTTCACTATATCAGTCACTATATAAACCAATAAGATTTCACAAAATTATTAAGCTCAGATAATTGTAGACCTCAATCTACCATAAAGTATTGGTTTCAGCTATATTACGTTTTTGTATAAAAAATAAAGTGTTTAATTACTCATAAAAAATATTTAATAAAGAAAATCATAATTGAGGAAAAAAGGGTAATAATTAGGGAAAAATGAGTATCATTGAGGATAATATAGGATATAATTGAAATATATGGTTGGTTAAATATGATATAGGGTTAATTCGCCTCTTTGTACAGTGTATTTGATAAAAGCCAACAAGTCTGTGTAAGGTAGTTAATATTAAAGGTAAAGAATAGATCAAAGGAAATATGATCTATCACCTGTTGTTTTGAACTTATATTATACCTTGAAGACACCACAGGTAGAGTAAATAACTGAATACTGGAGGTAAAATACTGACTAGTGTATTTATAGTGAGGTAAACTGAAGTAATATATTTGTACTGAAAGAGTCTTCAGCAGTGTGTTCTAATCAGATGCTTCCAGATCAGGTGAGGGAGGTTAGTAGGGGCCAGTCATTTCTTTCCCTATTTATAATGAAAATTCAAAGTGGGGTCCAAAACTGGGACAGCCTTTTTAAATTCTGTAAAAAAAAAAATGAAAGGAGTAATTCCTATACTACCAATTTCTATCAATGGAACAAAAGGAATAGTGCAAGAAGTGGATTGAATAGAAATGAATTGGAGAGACGTGAATTGAATAGAAATGAATTAGAAAGAAGTGAATTGAATAGTTATGAATTGGAAAGAAAGGAATTGAATAGAAATGAATTGGAAACAAGAGAATTGAATAGAAATGAATTAGAAAGAAGTGAATTGAATAGTTATGAATTGGAAAGAAAGGAATTGAATAGTAATGAATTGGAAAGAAGAGAATTGAATAGAAATGAATTGGAAAGAAGATAATTGAATAGAAATGAATTGGAAAGAAGTGAATTGTATAGAAATGAATTGGAAAGAAGAGAATTGAATAGAAATGAATTGGAAAGAAGAGAATTGAATAGAAATGAATTGGAAAGAAGAGAATTGAATAGAAATGAATTGGAAAGAAGATAATTGAATAGAAATGAATTGGAAGAAAGGAATTGAATAGTAATGAATTGGAAAGAAGAGAATTGAATAGAAATGAATTGGAAAGAAGAGAATTGAATAGAAATGAATTGGAAAGAAGAGAATTGAATAGAAATGAATTGAAAAGAAGTGAATTGAATAGAAATGAATTGAAAAGAAGTGAATTGTGTGGAAAAGAAGTGCTAGATTAGAATCCAGATGGAAATACATTATTCAACGCAAGGCTGTGCTTCTTAGTATGCAAAAAGTATAAAACTATAACTCCATGCATGAAATCTCAAACCAAAAACTGTATGCAGAAAATTACAAACCTAGTACTTGAAGGTACTGATATTATCTATATGATACATATCAGATGTAGCTTGTCTATGCATATTAAAATCTCCCCCTGTATTCAGTTACACTTTAATTTGAAACAGTTCAGTTGATATAATAAATATAAATTGGTTTTAATGGTATAGGAAGCTATAAAGTGTAATTTCAATTATTTTGTTCAGTGGGGGGTCAGAGGAATTAGGTCATCCAGTGGACTATAAAAAGTAGGTGAAACCATTGTTACAATTAAATATTGAGAAACATACATCTGTTATTCACAAAGAAAATAAAATCTAAATCAAATTAAGTGAAATGCAAAACAATGTGTAATAGTAAAAATTCATCTTTTAGAGGAAGGGGAGGGGGGGGGAGGATTCAAGCAGTTAAGTGATCTCAATGAGCATAGACTATGCTGCATAGTCCAACACACACCTTTTAATTGTAAGTCCTCTTATCTGTATTAAAAAAAAAATGATTTAGGCCTATGCTGTGAATGTACCCAATAGAACCAAATGTATACTTATTTATGCTGACCAAACCCATTGCATGCACATCAGCGACGAAATTCATAGTCATCGTCACAGCTGTTCTATAAGAGACAAAAACTAATATTTCATAATTTATTCTTAAAACATTAGTACTCACTATTCACTGCCATCAGCCACTGTAGGTCCAATTA